GTTTGATATCCATCGGTCAAGGAATGTAGCGGCTACTGTCTCTGCAGAGGTGTCGGCGATGGGACATGCTATAGCCCATTTTGTAAATCTGTCCACTGCGGTGAGTATATGTGTGAATGATTTTGATGGCGGCAAGGGACCGACTATATCTAGATGGATGTGTTGGAAACGCTTCTCCGGCAAAGGGAACTTCCCAACAGGACTGACTGTGTGTTTTTGAATTTTGCTGCGTTGACATTGTAGGCAGCTTCGAGTCCATCGTTTTATATCTGAGTTAATCTTTGGCCACACGAAACGTTCGGTAATCAGTTTAGTTGTGGCTCGGATTCCTGGATGTGAAAGACCGTGTAAGTGTCGGAATATTTCTCGTCGGCAAGCGTATGGGACGAAAGGGCGGTTGTTGCCTGTTGAGGTGTCGCACATGATGAAAGTATCTGAGAAAGGCATGGGTATTGGTTTAAGATTCAAGTTAGACTTCTCTTGGCAGGCTTTCAATTCTGCATCGTCTACTTGAAGTTTAGCTAAAGTTTCTAGACTGATGTTGTGGTTGTGTACTATCATATTGATGTCCTTTCTAGATAGTGCATCTGCGACAATGTTCATGTTACCTTTGATAAAGCGGATGTCTGTAGTAAATTGAGAGATATAATCAAGTTGTCTTGCTTCTCGTGGAGAATGTTTGTCATACGAAGTGCTAAAGGAATGGCAAAGGGGTTTGTGATCTGTCATAATGATGAAATCACGACCCTGTAGCAAGAAGTTGAAATGTTTGACGGCTAGATACATAGCTAAAAGTTCACGTCCAAAAGTGCTATAACGTTCTTGTGCTGACGATAATCTCTTCGAGAAAAAGGCGATGGGGGTAATTGTGTCGTTTACCCGCTGTTGCAGTACTGCCCTGACGGCTTTCTGTGAAGCATCCGTGCACAGAATCAGATGGGTTGTGGGGTCAGTATTTAGATGTTGTAACATCGCGGCGTTGGCTATCATAGATTTAGCTTTCTCAAATGCTGCTTTGGCATCAGGAGGTAATTTGAACATTTGGTTCTTTTTTTTTTGGTGCCTGCTTTATCGCTTTTCAGTAAATCAGTTAACGGTTGTAGTACTTCAGCGCAATGCGGTAGGAATCGTCGATAAAAGTTGCATGTCCCAAGGAAACGTCGTAGTGATTTTACAGAGGTTGGTTCTGGATAGCTAATGATGCCTTCGACTTTCTCTGGGAGAGGTTTAATACCTTGGGAGTTGATGTAGTGTCCTAAAAACTCTAAGGCTGGAACACCGAATATACATTTAGCAGGATTAATAACAACACCGTGTTTTTTGAAACGTTCGAAGAGGATCTGTAAGTGTTGGATATGCTCTTCGAGTGATGAACTAGCGATTAAAACATCGTCGATATAGACGAATACAAAGTCTAATCCTTGCGTAACTTGGTCCATAAACCTCTGAAACGTTTGTGCGGCATTTTTTAGCCCGAATGGCATCCTCAAAAATTCAAACAGACCAAAAGGAGTGATTACGGCTGTTTTTTCAATGTCTTCGGGCGCCATTGGAATTTGATGATAGGCTTTTACTAAGTCAAGTTTCGAAAAAAATTGTTTACCATGTAGATTTAAGGAGAAGTCGTGTATATGTGGTATGGGGTACCTATCCGGGATAGTTTGATTATTTAATCTTCGGTAGTCTCCGCATGGTCGCCAATCTTGGTCCTTCTTTGGAACCATGTGCAGCGGCGAAGCCCAAGGACTGTTTGATTGTCTAATTATTCCGAGTTGCATCATATGTTCAAATTCTCTTTTAGCAATCTGTAACTTGTGTGGTGGAAGTCTCCTTGCTTTAGCACTAACGGGTGGTCCCGTAGTGATGATATGATGCTGTACGTGGTGTGCTGTGGGTTCCGTCTGATAATTTACTTTTGTGATACATTCGTATTCCTTCAGAATGTCGGTGAAAAGTTTGTTTTCCGGTTTTACTATATGAACACCGTAAATCTCATAGTCAGTAGCAAGCGTACCATTTACTTGTAAACGTGTGCATCGGTCAATCAACCTCTTGTTGTTCATATCTACTAATAATTTGTAGGAACTTAGGAAGTCGGCTCCGAGAATGGGTTGCTTAATTTCAGCTACAATGAAAACCCACGTGAAACGTCTGCGGAGACCGAGGTCTAGGATAAGTGATTGATCTCCATAAGTTTTAATGGTTGTGTTATTGGCCGCAACTAGGGATAATTTGTTGCTTGGAGAGTGCCGTCGTTTAGAGAGGTGCAATGGGATAATGCTGATTTCGGCCCCTGTATCGACCAAAAAATCTGAGCCCGAAATTCGGTCCCTGACATGAAATAGACGGCTCGTTGTGTGGCCAGAAACAGTCGCCGCCACTACTGTCTGGCCAGTTCGTTTCCCTGATTCTCTGAGTCAGCCGCGGAAAATGTGCACGGTCTTGTGCAACGCCGTGCTTTGGTGCCATATTTTTGGTGATACCAACAAATACCGACTGTCTTCTTGGGAGACCTTGAACGATGTCTTGAACCTGCTCTTTCTCTAGAAATAGATCTGTTAGGTCGAAAATGAATACTCGCAATAGTGGCCTGTAATGACGCTAACTGGGTTGTTAACTGTGTCAATTGTTGCTGAATGTTGAGTGTTGTGTTCATGATATAAAAAAAACTAATGTTTCAAGTAGAAATATAAACAATAAAACTAAAATACACTCTAGGCTCACCAAATAATTGTGGTGGACCAGATAATATATTAATCCAAAAGGTAATAATAGTTATTTATAACAAATAGCAATATTTAAAGATATATAAGTTAAATGTCATAAACACAATAGAAATAAGGAACGTTACTTATTTTACCAGGAGAGCGCGTGTTCCAATTTGATCTGGTGTTAAATATCCACAATTATAGATGATTAATAATTCCTGCGAGTGTGATGGGTTCCCCAATGATATGATTAAGTAATAAATATGGTATATTCCAATTATCGTCTGTAAAGATAAATGGTACTTGCTTTAGACTTCAGTTAACACAAATGCAAGTGAATTTAGAACGAGAGACATGTGTGTAGTAGTGTATTTGGGACAATCACAGAAAGTGTCACGCTATGTTAGTATCACAACGGAAAAAGTGATCAAGGTCATTTACTAAAACAACAGGTACAATGATTTAATAATAAATGTACACACAGTGAAAGGTTGACAAAATGAATACAAATAATAATAAAAATTATTTACAAAAATAAGTTTGACAGACCTATCTCCACACATCTATAGCAATTTTGCTGCTTATAATTTACAAATAGTAGTAAACTTTCCTTTTCGAGCGTGAGATTATTGTTCTCGACATTTTTTTTATAAGTGTTCTGTTCATTTTGAATTTGAGAGAATTTCTTCTTTGCGACTCTGGATTTATTAATATGTTATTTCTGCAATACTTAACCACTGAAATTGACGTCTGTTACCATAATTCCTATTTCTATCCAAGTTAAAGTATTTCTTTTGGACAGTATAACGTTCCTCACTTGACGCGTAGAATTTAATGCTTCCTCAGCGATTTTGAGACTGATATTCTGTAGTTTGACTGTACTCTATATCATGGGGAACAAAAAATGCTTTATACATTTCAGAAAGCCTTTGCTGTCTTTCCATTAAGGTAAAAAGCTTATGAGCTGGTGATTTTCGATATCAAGAACATAACAAGGTGAGGTCTCCATTCATTAATCTTTTTAATTTTCATTGAATACATTGTCGACAGGATGAGCTTAGTGATTCCGGTATACACTGACGGCGTTTGGATATGGAGGTTGATGAATGGCGAGAAGAATTTATTCGAGTTTTAAAAAGACATAACAATAGTAAGAAAATAGGTAGTGGACAACGGACTAATATTTAGTTTATCAAAATATGACGTCTTCTGTTTCTTGTGTGAAAAACAGCTTTTAGTTTTTTTCTCTGAGCAAGATGTGAAACTTATAATCACACATAGCTTGGAAATCATTTCAAACTATTTTTCGGAATGAAGCCAAGGATAATGCAACTCTTAAATTCATACAAAGATAGCTTTATGCGTTCACCCTGGAATTATTTCTGACATCATTTAAAGCATACTCTAGACTCCAGTTCGCATTCCGCAACATCGTTTTGTATCCCTTTTTTCGACAGTAACAAATCTCATAGGTCAGGTATAGAGATGGGCAACTAGAATAAAGAAACATATCTTTTGAGCATAGACTGCGACACTTAGAATTTCTTTTGCTGAACGATGGGAGAATGAGAGGTGTCTTGATAATCGTCTATGGCATGTTATGCTCGACAAGTCATTACAATAGATAGGTACTACCAAGACATTACAACCACGCTCCTCCGGTCAGCCTCAGAAAAATTTGACATATAATAAAATCCCAACTGTTCTCCCACTTTTGCCTACTTAGAGTTTCCTCCATTTTAGATTCTCTGACGACTAAATTGGTTTCAGCCCTACCAGCAGATAGTCTCAATAGAAAATTTGACAAACAGGTAACTACTCATGGATTACCACATCGCCATTGGATCAGCTGTGTATGACGCATGTATGGCAACTTTCTTTATATTACCCTCTATGCAAATCATGAGTTTTTTCTGTCATTATCGTTTCCATTTTCTTTTCTATTCTTACATTTCGGCGTACCATTGATGTCTTCCTTAGTGTTTTACTAACAATCGTTTCCTTTAGAATTCAGATTCGCTCCTTGTCATTTTCCACAGTACAACTAACAAACTTCCTCTACGGTAGTCTCGTGCCTACTGGCTCCAGTAACCCTACTGCATGGAGACTAATGCAATTAACCAAATTATGAAATACAGAGATTTAAAAACAATTACCAAGCCGACTAGAACTAGTTCAACCAAATGACAAGATCAGCATAAGTAAGAGAATAAGATCAGTACTGAAACAAGTAGAATTGAGTGCATCTGACTCATACATTACAGTCTGAAAGTTATTGGATGTTCACTTACCGAAAAAGGGTGGGAGTTTCTATTATTTACTACTTCAAGGTTACGTACTGCAGTTGGACAACTTATCTCTGACTATTTGCCGTGAGTATCGTAAGCATCTCTATGTAACATTTCAAACTCTGCATTATGAACTTCTGTGAAAGTGAAGTATATGGGCAACCTTGGCCACCAAAGAAACAATGTTTATTGCGTCGCGAACACTGAGATGTATCCCAGTGATCATATGATCACATTAAAAACATTGCTGTACTGTACTTGCTAAACAAATTTAACATGGAATATTAACATTTGTGCATAAAATACCACGATTTCCATTAGATCAAGATATAAACTATGGTCGATGGATTTATTGAGTTGAAATCCGATCGGTTCGCCCATATACTTTACTTCTGAAACTAGTCGAAGCCTTCAGATGTGGAACTCATGTGGTCGTGCATTCACATATTTTGGACTTCGCTTTTTTATTATCTTTTGAATTATTCGCAAAGTGTATGAGGAACGGGATCATTAAACATATAACGGTATGGTTCTAATAAGTGGCCAGTTTTTTAAATTTGATAGTACCACGTGACCATCACATTCGATACCATACACTTAAAGCTCAGAGTGTATGTGCCTGTAAACATGGCAATGAAATGGCTTTTAGATAAATCCGAAGTAATACTAGTGTGTTGAGACATTGCTAGCTTTTCGATTCTCTTAATTGCAATTTATATGTATGTGTAGCCAAGCAAGACTCAGAGTGGGACTAATCAACTCAGCATATAAACTTTGTATTGATTTGGTTACTAATTATGCCTCCCTTACCATTTCTAATTTTGTCCGTTAAATATTTTAATCTATGCTTTTGCTTGCCATTCACAAAAAACATATTCACTTCATTCTTTAACTGTGTAGATACGTCATTTACAGGATATTTCATATAGTGGACTGACATTAGGATAGTGTTTCTTAAAACACACTAGTGACCAAAAAACGATATACATTTGCCATTATTTATCTTTTATCATCCTTAGTATATTCTGGAAGAGTGGCAAGTTAATTTCATATGTATCTGGGATAACGTCTTAAAACGATAAGTTATTCATAGGATTTATTCTTCGAAGATTAATTGACATTTACAAGCACATAACACAATATACTCTGATATTAATAATCGAATTATTTTGAAAAATTTGTACTGAAACCTAGGTTTTTAAAAGGATATATTCCCTTTTTTGGTGGAATAGCTATTTATTAGGATATCAAGTTTGAAAGTATTGATTTCCTTTAGTTGTTCTTAATTACCTGGAAATAACCTTTAAATAATTATATCTAATTCGTTTTCGTTTATACTTTTATACTTCTTTCCTCATATTTAACTTTCAGATTGAATAATATTTCCTCAGTATAAATAATGTCATCTGATTATTCAGACATGCCGTTACCTCCTAACTGGGAGGCTCGAATTGACTCAGAATCCGGGCACTGGTTTGTTGTATATTATATAATATTTTTTGTCAATAACCATTTATCTAGGTATTATATCAATCATGAGGATAAGACTACTAGTTGGGATGATCCACGACCTGCATATTATTCTGCTCAACAGTTAGACCTTTTAGTATGATTTCGTTATTATTATAAGTGTGTTTTAGAATACTTATCGAATGGGGTTTGGTGATCGACAAGATTTAATTGGTGAATTTTTCGACATATCTGAAATTTCTTCTAAGTAAAGCTGATTTATATAGTTATCCCTTTGTATTTTGGAATGTTGTATCGATGATTTAGTTTTGATTGGCTATAATTCATCGTAGCACTTTCAGATAAAAAATGGTCAATTGTTATGAATGTTTATCTACTCAATATTATTAGAATTTGTCCTTCTTATCGTTTAGCAATCCTTTATTCTGGTTATCAGACTATTTGCTTTCCAACTAGTGGTTCGTAGATTCTAACTTCACCTTAGTAGCTGCGAAATAATCGTCTACATTGACCCGTTGTTATGATTTTTATTATTACGACCTAGTTACTCCTATTGTCTAGCATTCTTGGAGATTGCTTCACTCGATTGAACAGGAACATAATTATATTCCAAACAAAAAGGTTGGTAGGAAGTAGGAATCACAATAAGAAAATGTTAGTATATTTATAGTTTTTCTTTCCAAATCTATTCCACTGGACTCTACTCCTTAAATAACATCATCATACCTTAATGTTTCTTATCACTACTTATACTTTCACTACCTTTACCACTACGGGATTTGAATCGATAACTGAATCTCTGTGCTTATGATGTATGGCAACTCGAACTGATGTTTATTTTATTTATTTATTTTAACACATAAGTATAGGTACAGGGAGGCACCAAAATACATATGCGCCACACAAATCTCAATTGATTTGTGTGAGGGCTGTGATACTGCCCGGGTGCCCAAACCGAAGTAGGTGGTTTTCTTAAGGGGCCACACCCCGAGCCTTTGACCTAAGGGTCTAACCCACAAGGCAGTGGAGCATCGTGAGGAGATGCAGTCCCATGGTAGCCGGTGACCAACGATTGGTTCATACGCCATTTGTTCCCGCAGGATACTGGAGTCCATGTGCACCATTGGTTTGGGGTCCGGTTAAAGCGCCAGACATTCGCTTTTCGTCCTCTCATTTTTGTAAACAACACCCCTGCCACGAGAAGGCAGTGAGTAGGACTTCCCTGGCAGGGGCTATATACGCATGGCCATGTGAGAGCATTTCGAGAGGGAGAGCGGACTCTCCCCACTCTCGGCCGTACCAGGGCATGTATGTACGTACGAAGTTCCACGTTGTTACTGGTTGACTGACACGAGATTCTAGAGTCTTCTCCAAGCATCCACTATCGCTGATTGGTAGAGAAATAGCTAATTAGCGTGCCTCAACACAATACTGCACAGAACATGCTTTAATTCAATCTATGTTCCTCTAACATTTTGTTATTCGTAAACGAGTTATATTCATACATACATATATTTCTCTAGAAATTCAGTTCAATTAATTTTTTTTTAATTATTTTATTCATAGGTCACATAAAAATCCAAAATCTGTTAACCCTAAACCATGTGGTAAGTGCCAAGTTTTTAGCTATTTGTTAATGCCTACTTTTTCACTATAGTTTGTACTAGTAATATATCTTTTTTAAATTTGAGAAGAGGATAACATTTATTTATTTATTTAAACACATAAACATTGGCACAAGAATGCACTAAATAGATATGCCCAAATAAATCATTCGACTTATGCAAGGGCTGTGATACTGCCGGGGTGACCAAACCGAATAGGATAATTTTCTTGGGAGCCACACCCGAGGCCTTCGACTTAAAGGTCTGATCCACAATACAATGGGGCGACGTCAGGAGATGCAGTCACATGGTAGCCGATGGCCAACGATTGGTTCATACACCATTTGTTCTTTTAGGATCCTGGTGCCCCCAAATGCCCTGGTATGGCCGAGAGTGGGAAGAGTCCGCTCTCCCTCTTGAAACTGCTTAACTCCATTTGTATTTTCGTTTCTTCCTTAAGGTAAAACTCACTTTGTGGTTGATAATGGTATTCTATGGTTAGTGTCATATACGTGCTATATGAACATTTTATTAATTCGAAAGTTGGCTCTATCACAAACCGACCAGTATCATTTACAAAACCACTGTAAATAAATATACACTGTATAATTGTTTGATTAAGATTATTTTTAGATACCCTAGTTACACTGAAACTTAATTATAAACTAAACTCCAACCAATTCAGATTTTGTAACATAAATAGATGTTCATATTTCACAACTAATTGATTTTACGATTTAGAATGACTGTCATCTAGACTGTATCAAATTCGCCCCCAAATGTTCTGGTATGGCCGAGAGTGGGGTAGGCCCGCCCTCCCTCTCGAAATGCTCTCACATGGCAACGCGTATACAGCTTCTGCCAGGGAAGTTCTACTCTCTGCCTTCTCACCAACGGGGTGTTGTTTACGGAATGGAGAGGATGAAAAGCGAATGTCCGGTGCTTTAACCGAATCCCAAACCAAATGGTGCACATGTGCTGGCTCCAGTATCGTAAGGGAACAAATGGCGTATGAACCAATCGTTGGTCACCGGCTACCATGGGACTGCATCTCCTTACGATGCTCCACTGTCTTGTGGGTCAGACTTTCAGGTCAAAGGCTCGAGGTGTGGCCCCCTAAGAAAACCACCTGCTTCGGTTTGGGCATCCGGGCAGTACCACAGCCCTCACACATATCAATTGAGATTTGTGTGGCGTATATATATTTGGTGCCTCTTTGTACCAATATTTATGTGTTCAAATAAATAAATAAGTATGAAATTCGAAAGGGCACGGAGGTTGTTTATTAATAAAGATGATCAGTAAAAAAACGGGAATATCATATTTAATGTTGTGAAATATATTCACTTTACCCTCTCTCTTCACCTTACAACCCATTAAAAACGTATTTTGTTAAACGTATGACGAAGAGTGTACTTCCAACAAATACTGGTATATACATCATATATCCAACATAAACAAATATCCCTTTTATAATTGATTATATCTTAGCTGTTCGAAATAGACCTACGAGATAACATAAATAAGATAATGGCAATAACAATTAGTTACCGGATTCGAGAAATTACAGTATTTATCAGTATTTGTTGGAAGTAGACTCTTCGTCAAACGTTTAACAAAATATATTTTTGATTGGTTGTAAGGTGAAGGAAGAAAGTAAAACAAACATATTTCACAACGTTAAATATGATATTCCTGTTTTTACTGATCACCTTTATTAATGTGCGCCCTTTCGCTCATCAGTCAGTCAGTCAGCTACACCGTAGGAACAGGCACATATATACATCGGTTCAAGTTGCCACACCTCACTCATTAGCACAACAAGATGAACATTGAATTCATAGAAGTAGGTACCTCAATCCTGCTTCGATTTGGGCACCCGGGCAGTATTACAGCCCTCATGCAAATGGGATGGGATTTGTGTGGCGCATATGTATCTGATGCTCCCTTGTACCAGTATTTATGTGTTCAAATAAATAAATAAGTATTTACCTCAATAGTGGTTATATATAAAAGAAAGATTGGGTATAAAGGATATAGTACAGGAAGAAAGAATTAGTTCGTAGAAAGAAAGATATAAAGCAATTTTAATCTCACGCTTTAAGGGAAGACAAAGTGTGTACACCGACGCCATTGTGATCGATTTTGAACTGTTACCCAGAGTCTTAAACAATTGTTTGCGATAGTCACGCGTATAATAAACAAGTAGTCTGTATCTACCAACATGGCTCAGACTAGACGTTAGTTAGTGACTTCAGGCGCTGATGACACGTTTTGGTTTACCATCGTTCCTGAAGCAACAACTTGCATTTAGAGGGAGAAAAGCGCATTCTAAACATTCTGGCATGCTGCTCAGTGCTACCAAAAGTCGATAAGTGAACCACCTGGAAGGAGATCAATGCTGAAAATTCAGTCGACGAAAAAGTTATTTCTAACAGTATGTCTATGATGAAGTTAAACAAATATGAAGAAATTGGACAGCCTTGAGGGACACCACCTGAGGTTGCAAAATTAGATGACAGATTGCCATAAACCCTGACTCGACTGGTGGTGTTCTAGTAAAGAGTCTTCACAAGGTGTATGTACTTCTGAGGTTCGCCTTTCAACGACAGACACTCACAGGATCTCGCAGTCTACCGAGTCAAATGCTGTTTTTAATTCAAGTAAGACCACCATTTTCGGACGCTGATAAGTATGCCTGTGTTCTAGAACCTGACGAATGGTGAATATGTGGTCGATGCAGCCACGACCAGGTCTGAAGCCAGCTTAATTCTCTCGTGTTTTTAGTTCACGAGTCTTTGTTGGGCGTCTGTTATTTATTGAGGCTAGTATTTTAGATTCTATGTTAGTCAAAGTAATCCCTCCATGGTTATCATAGGATGATTTTAACCCCTTTTTATATATTGGGACAATCAACGATTGTGACTAGTCAGATGAGGGTACTTCTAACTTCCAGATTTTAGCTAAAGAAGCCAGTCAACTTACCCTCTAAAATTGGGCCACCATCCTTAAAGACCTCTAGAGTGAATCGATATGAACCAGCTGCTCTTCATCGTTTGAGATTAGCTATATATATATTTGGTACCAATATGTATATGTTCAAATAAAATAAAAATAGCCTTTTAAACTTCAACTAGAGTCGAGGGACCTACTTCAATGTTCTATTTAGGCTGTTTGGGAATGGTAGGTAGTTGTGGAGTAGCTGGAGGCCAGCTGAACTGCTCCTTAATGTGTTTTACCCATCGTTCTAAACTTCTGGACTGGGAGCAGATAAATGTGTCATCTTTTTCCGAGATCGTCTCACACTTGACTTCTTAATTCCAGTTTCTTTTATTGTTCTGAAAAAGCTGTCTGGTGTTATCTGCAGTTACCGGCTTTCATATCCTTTTTGTTTTCGTCTTTCATCGTGTTCAGAGCCTGATGGGATGAGTTTACGAGAATATATCAGTGCATTAGACTTAGTAGAAATCCACTGAGTTTTCGTAACCCTTTGGTTTAAAACACTAAAAGATGCCGCTGCTATTTCCACAGCTGTTTGTACATGTGTCCAAGCAACATCCGGGCCAGCCTCGTCTTCAGAACTACCTAAGTGTGACCTCAGTTTTTTCTGGTATCTACTTTTGACTTTCCGGTCACTGAGTTCGAATGTAATGGGTCTTTCTAATGTGTTTTTTTTTGCGTTCAGTGAGACTCAAGCAAATGCGTGTTTGTATTAGAGCATGATCGGAGTCTAAACATGTATTCCAGAACGAGCTACATTCTTCTATCGAGCCTCTCCAACGATGACTGATGGCAATATGGTCTATTTGAGTCCATCGTTGGTTAGATGCAGGGGGTTAAACGATGTTTCTCCGTACTAAAAATAAACGATTGTCTAAGCAAAGTTGCAGCAGATGGTCACCATTATCTGTTCGCTGAGCCAGAATACTCAAATACACGCCTAAATATTTTTCTGTATGTTTGAAGCTGCCTACTTGGGGATTAAAATCACCTGCTACGATTACTATGTCTGAGTGCTTGGCTTTTTGAAAAAGTACAGAAAACTTTCTGTAAAAGTCATCTTTCAGTTCATCCGGGCTGCAGTCAATGTGAACGTAGACAAAAACGACGAAATGGCAACGAAATGTGTCCCTATTCTTCCGAGTTCTTACAGAGCCGTTTGGCAACTGTTAACAGGGATCCATTCTATAAGTGTTTGTTCTGCCCTCGTACTCAGTGCTATGCCCACACCCGCCAGTTCACGAGAACTAGCTATTGGGTCGCCAGAGAAACGGAGAGTGTATCGTCGGCTCTCCGTCTTGGTGAGATGAAGTCAAGTGAATGAACGCACTAGGAAACACCTTACTGCTGTCACTCCTCTGTACAGTCAATAGTACGAATTCGCCTTCGGACCTTGGTTTTGTTGCTTTTAGTCTTACCGCTCTTCAATTGATTTGTCTAGCATGGTAGGACCTTGAGGAACGATTGTTCCAGCCAGTATAGCTCGATCGGTTCATCACGATAGGCAAGCCCAACCACCACATCACAGTAGCAGCAACGGTCGGGCCCTTTTGCTCGTGCCCTTATTAGTGTGAATCATAAATATGCGGACGTATGAAAGTATTTATAAATAAACAAACTATTGTTTCAGTCTTTCAGCATGCGTTTCATTATATGTATGTACTTTCAATCTAGTCCTTGTGTGGTATTTTTTTATTGATTTTTACAACATTAAAACGACATACGCCGATGTCCCAGTAACTAATGTAATTAACTTCATGTATTCGACTTTAAACCACATTATTTATGCAAAGGATGGTGATATTACTATCCAGTGGACCAAATCAAAATAAGTGAAGTTTAAACAAACAATCTGGTAATCCATGTCACTGTGAGACCACAATCTGTATAGGAATTGTTTAGTGAAAAGTCCAGGACCTTTAAATCTGGCAATAAGTATAGATCCTTTAAATTACAAGTATTAAGGCTGTGTGTTATTGTAGTTGCATATTGTTGATGAGTATGGAGCCTGAAAGAAGCAGATATCTAGCAATTCTTGATTTTCTCCACAACCCCAATACTGATAATCAACATGTGCTCACTAGTGACTAGCTTCGTGAGGGAATTCTCGGAGTTCTGGTGAGAAGCCGTGACAAGTGGAGCTAATCCGTGTCGGGTAGAGACAGGTATCTACCTCAGTACAATCGAAGATGATGGCGCAACTTCGTGGGTTAGTTGATGTTAGACACTAACACCATTGGATGCCGGCTCAGTGGTCTAGTACGTTAAGCGTTCGCGCACGAGACTGAAGGCCCTGGGTTCGAATCTGTTTGGGGTATTCAGAAAATATCCCAGAAATTATCTAATGCTATTCCTGAATGAGAAACGGTGTCATTTCCCCATTGGTCAATATTCTTTCAACGTGTCATTTTCCCGTTGGTCAATATTTATTTGTGTCATTTCCTGGAGGCCAAATCTTGTACAACTGTTACTTTCTATTTTATGGTACGATGTAGTCTGTTTGATTGGTATATAAACAGAGTATGTTTGAAATATAATGATTCATATCACAGAGACTGAGACTTGTATTCTGGACTCAACTGGCTGGGCTAGACAGGGAAGCAGGGCCAATCAGAACTCTAGGCTGTTCTTACGTGTTTTACGCGTCTTTGGTCCGATCGATAACTCACTGTCCTCTAATCCGCGCGTGCGTCTCAACATATAACAATTGGCAGGTCACAATTTATAACAGAATCCCGTGAGCGGGATCGTGGATGTGCACTGCTGAGTAGTCCCGCAGTAGGACAAAACGGCCGTCCAGTGCTTCCAGGTTTCCAACGGTGGCCTAACATCAGTCGATTCATGATCTCAATTGAAATTTTGTATATGTATTCATCGTTCAACATTCTATTATTTTGATTTTAGATGATCGTAGTAAAGATGTTCCCACTACAAAAACACATCGTAGTCGAATTGAATCGAATGGAGAAATTTCATCACGAAAAAATTCTCATTCCAAAGGAAGAACTTCTTCAACTTATCGTAATCGTGAATCAAAATCAAGTGTTTGTTCACAAAATGATAATGAATCCTATCATTCATCAATTTATGTTTCACCAGTTGGGATCACCGGGTAAGTAATAGTGAGGTTAAACGCACAGGGTTTCAGGGAATGATGCTAAGTCAATTGATGAGGTTATGAATGTTCATCGACTGAGATGGTTGGGCCACGTATTGCGTATGCTTGAACACCGATTACCACGACGTGCAATGCTCACCAGTGTTAGGGATAATTGGAAGAAAGTTAGAGGGGGCGGCCAAACCAAAACATGACATCAGTGCTTGAAGTCACTAACTAACGTCCAGTCTGAGTCATGTTGGTAGATGCAAACTACCTGGTTGGGGTTGGCGTGACTATCGTAACCAATGGTTGTAGACTGTTGGTGACATGGCTCAGAATCGATCACAATGGCGTAGGTGTATACACTCCCTGTCTTCCTTTAAACTAAGAGATTAAAATCACTTCATATCCTTCTTCCTGTACTATCTCGTTATATGCAATCCTTATTGTATATATATTAGCACCACTGAATTAACCACTTCTATGAATCCGATGTTGTTCATGTTGTTGTGCTAATGTGGTATGGCAACTTGTACCGATACATATATGTGCCTAATCCTACGTCGCAGCTGACTGACTGACTTATATTTAACCAAAAACTAATAAAAAATCTAAATATGATTCATTATTACCTAAAACATCAAGAGATAATGATGATCACAATGTTGATGATAATGTTTTTGTTATAGAATCAACTAGAAAACAGAACACATCAAAGAATCACTTCAGACTAAGTAAGTAAATGACACCACTTCCCTATGAGAATTCTTCAATAACTTATTTTTAATTTGGATTAATCAATCACTGAGTAGTAAAAATGCCATGGTATGGTCGAGAGTGGGGATAGTCCGCTTTCTTAATCGAAATGCTCTCAAGTGGCCATTTGCACACAACCAATGTAACAAAAGTCCTACTTACTGCCTTCTCATGGCTATACTGTTGTTTACGAAATTGTTATTATTTATCATTTATTTATTATAACACAGGGGGGGGCACCAAATGTATATGCGAAACACAAATTTTCATTTTATTTGTGTGTGAGCTGTGATACTGTCCGGGTGCCCAAACCGAAACAGGTGGTTTTCTTAGGAGACCACACCTGGAGCCTTTGAGTGAAAGGTCTGACCCACAAGCCAGTTGAGCATCGTGAGGACATGCAGTCCCATGGTAGTCGGTGACCAAGAAATTGGTTCATACGCCATTTGTTCCTTCAGGATACTGGAGCCCATGTACGCCATTGATTTGGGATCCGGTTATAGCGCCGGACGTTCGCTTTTCGTCGTGTCATTTTCATAAACGACGGTAAAGCCACGAGAAGGCAGTGAGTAGGACTTCCCTGTCAGAGGCTGTATACGCGTGGTCATGTGAGAGCATTTCGAGAGGGAGGGCGGGCCCACCCCACTCTCGACCATACCAGGGCATTTGGGGGCAAAACAACCAAGTTCATTTTTAACTCAGTTTGATTTATAGTTGTTCTTTCAACGGTATCTGATAATCTGGGGTTACAATGCTGATGAGTTTCGTGCTAGAATGAAACAGCTGATTAGATGATGGTTTGAAGTAGTCGACAGGAAACCCTGGACCCAGGTTTTGTGCTACTTGGCACTCGTCAGCAAGGTGTACCTGTAATTTTGAGGGAACTGGTGCTCCCTGGTGGATTCTACCCCGTGTCACCCTGCTTCACAGTCAGAGATGTTATCACTGAGCTATCCGGGCCGCTTACGAAATTGAGATGACAAAAAGCGAATGTCCGGCGCTTTAACCGAGTTAGTTGACATGGAGAGTTCACTTAGGGGATTTGAAAAACCCTGATTCCTAACCAATAGCGCACATGGGATCGAGAATCCTGAGTGAACAAATGGCGTATGAACCTATTGTTGGTCACTGACTACCATGTTATTGCATCTCCTCACGATGCTCCACTGCCTTGTGGATCAGACCATTAGATCGAAGGCTCCTGATGTGGACCCTTATGAAAACCATCTGTTTCGGTTTTGGTACCCGAGCAGTATCCCAGCCCTCACATAAATCGAATGATTTATATGGCGCATATCTGTTTGTTGACTCCTTGTATGAATGTTTATGTGTTTAAATAAATAAACAAATAAATCTGCGTTGTAAAATATGCTATATTTATTTATTCTTTAGTATTGATTAAGTTCAATCAATCAAGTTGCTCTCTGACTATGAGTCTAAATGATCCAACTTTGTCTGTACTCTTTATATTGATTTCTGAGTATAACACTGCATAATGTTGGTTCGAATCATATTTTAAACTCAGCATAGTATGAGAGACAATTAAAATGGGTCAGACAATTAATACATGCTGAAAAAACAACAATCAAACTAGTTTGCACAAGAGAAATATACTGTAAATTATTACTATGACCTCATGTATACAACCTCTGCCAAGGAAGTCCTACTTACTACCTTCTCGCGGCATTACTATTATTTACGAAAAGCGAATGTCCGTCGCTTTAACCGAATTAGTGGATACTAAGGATCCATCTAGGGGAGTTGGAAAACCCTGATTCCAAACTATTGGTGCATATGAGCTCCAAGGTCCTAAGGAAACAAACGGAGTATGAATCTATTGTTGGTTACCGGCTAACATGTGATTGCATCTCTTAACGTTGCTTCACTTTCTTGTAGATTAGCCTTTAGATCAAGGTTCCGAGGATTGGCTTTCTAAAAAAACCAACTGCTTTAGTTTAGGCAGCTGGGCAGTATTTCACACCCCTCACGTAAATCGAATGATTTATGTGGTGTATATATATTTGGTACCTCCTTGTCCCAATGTTTATGTTTAAATAAATAAAAAAGAGCATTTTCATGATGGAATGGAATCAGTTTCTAAATTATTAAAACTTGAGAAAAAGAGCACTGGAAAGATAGTTTTCTAGCTACAGTCACTAGTCCATACTCTACAAAAACAAGATAATTCATTAGAAAGGGTAATAGAATTGAAACAACCTATGGCGAAGGCGAGATATCCGTCTATCAATTAAGGGACAAGTATACTGCGCGGCAGTTCGTCCTGTTTTACTTTATGGCTGCGAAATATGGTCTTTAAGATTAGAAGATACTCGTAAGTTACTAGTATTTGACCACAGGTGCCTTAGAAATATTGCGGGTATCTGCTGGGATCACCGGGTAAGTAATAGTAAGGTTACACGCACAGGGTATTAGGGAATGATGGTAAATCAGTTGATGAAGTTATGAATCTTCATTGACTGAGATAGTTAAACCACGTGTTACGTATGCCTGAACACCGATTACCACGACGCGCAATGCTAACCAGTGTTAGGGATAATTGGAAGAACGTTAGGGGCGGCCAAACCAAAACATGAAATCAGTGCTTGAAGACACTAACTTATGGTCTGAGCCATGTTGTATATATATATATATATATATATATATATATATATATATATATATATATATATATATATATATATATATATATATATATATATATATATATATATATATATATTACCACCCTTGAATTAACTACTTCTATGAATCGGGTGTTCATGTTGTTGTGCTAATGCGGTGCATATATGTGCCTGGTCCTATGTTGCAGCTGACTGACTGAAGAAAGATCAAATTTGAATAGTGTCTCAAAAGTCTCTCATCATGGCATCATTTTACTGAGCATAAGCTACTAACTAACTTATCAGGTATAAATTCATATATTTCACTTTAGGTCATACTCTATTTCTGAGAACCAGAGTGATATTACTCGATTTCTTGAACTGAAGTAGCTTGGGTGGGTTCGAACTAAGGGATTAGTGGCCAAAAGGTGAATTCCAGTATTTAGCTACCGCTCATCGTTAGACTGTAATATCAACACAGTATAAATTAGTATAACACTAAACATTGTAAACGAATCCTACTTATACGCTACATCATATTGTTTCTTGTTGCTATTATGCCAATAAGAGACTGATCATTTGCAGTTTTAAATAACAATGGAAAGATACAAGCAAACAATATCAGGTGAATTTAAACTTCACTCAATTACACAAGCAAGTAGCCATCAAGACTCAGTAGCTATGTGGATAATCCGATAGTGTTTGAAGCGAACGGTGACGGGTTTGAATCCCAGAATAAACATCAACTCTGGGATGCTGGTACATCCAGATGAAGGATCCAAAATAGGAGGAGACATGCGTCCTAGATTCCACTGCTAGCCACTATCTATCTTTTTCTTAAAAATCTTGTGACTTAAGTCAATATCGAGGCAATCCTCACAGTATGCATATATGCCGACACGAGACTGATCAATTGCAGTCCTATACAGCAATGTCTAGATACAAGCAAAGAACATCAAGTAAGCCTAAAGAATAATGTCTATGATGTGCGTACATTTCAGTCTGGTAGATTGATTGTTCTTTTTGTTTGGTAGCCCGTTTCATGTTTGTCTATTCCTGTAGAGAGTACTAATTGAATTCTATCAATCACGTTGTGATGTGCCCATCAGTTCTAATTAACTCAACATCATATGTTAGAAGATAGTTGGCAAAAAGCCGTTTGTTTTTCCTGAAAAATCTTTCTATTCTTTTTGTTTGATCTTTTGTTTGGTTTCATGTGTTGTTTTCACATTCTTTCTATTTAACTTTTAATAATTTGAACAGATTGTCGCTAGAAAAACACCTTGATACTGTTGTTCCTACAACAACTTCTACTTCCAATACTGTTATTCTCACTGAAGATAATTCACTTCAAAAGGTTAATACTACTACTACAACTACTACTGCTATTACTACTACTACTACAACTCCTACTACTAGTACCGTTATTCTCACTGAAAATGATCCATTTCAAAAGATGAATACTGCAGAAATATTGGTTGAAAAGCAGTCATTGGTGAGTGTTATGTAATGTTTATCAAGTCACTACATAATTTATTATTTATTTGGACACATAGATATTGGTAAAAGAGGGCACCAAATACATATGCGCCACACAAGTCACTTGATTTGTATGTGCGCTGTGATACTGTCAGGGTGCACAGAGTGAAGCAGGTGGTTTTCTTAAGAGGCCACATCCAGAGCCTTCAATCTAAAAGTCTGATCCACAAGACAGTGGAGCAACGTCAGGAGATGCATTCACATGGTAGTCAGTGACCAACAATAGGTTCATACGCCATTTGTCTCCTCAGGATCCTGAAGCCCATGTACACTGTGGGTTTGGAATCAGGGTTTTCCAATTCCCCTAGGTGGATCCTGCATATTCACTAGCCCGATCATATCATCGGACATTCGCTTTTCGCCCTCTCAATTTCGTGAACAGCTGTAATGCTGAGAGAAGGCAGTGATTAGAAATTCTGGGTCGGTGGCTGTATACGCGTGACCATGTGAGAGCATTTTCGAGAGGGAGAATGTACTCTCCACACCCTCGACCGTATCAGGGCATATATTTATATATTTCAATGCAGGAAAATATACATTAAAGGTCATCGTCATGTTGATAGTGTACCGTTGGACTCTGATTTAAATGTTTGGACGTTCGTCCTAAAACCTGAAAGTCCTGAGCTAGATCCCTAGCGAGATCGTAGGTGTGCACTTCTGGGGAGACTCATACGAGATCGAAATATCGGTATTGTCTTTTCTGGTTTTCTATGGTACACCATCTGAGATGACTCTGCGATAAATTCAATTACGTATCAAACTATTAGGTTAGACTGCACTAGCTTTCTTGCGTAGCATTGGGACTGAGTGTGTTATTGAAAGATTTAACTTTCAATCACTTAGTCGTTAATATAAACATTTCCTTCCGTACTTTGTTTTAAAAACAACGTTGTGATATACTTCACAAACAATGAAGTCTTTGACTGTTGATTTGAGCCTTTCAACATTGGATGACATGGCCTAGAATCGGTCATAACAGTGGAAATGTATTCCAGTTTCTCTTTATATACACTTGTTCGTAATATACAAAATCTGTAGTCATGTCGTTTGTATGAGTTCTGCTCGCTGTGCCACTTTCTTTTCTACAGTCTGTACTACGATCTCCATCAAAATGTCGAGTCCGCGGCGCGTTGACCTTCATAAACCCGTCGGACTGCCGGGTTATCAAAACCCGACGTACACCCAGCACCCAGGATATAAAACACCTGCGCTCCCGAGACTTGACGATTCATCTACATCCGAAGTGCCCTCAGCAGCCTCACTTCCCACCGCTTCTCTCCGTCGATAGCATCCGCTACAGTCAATTTCGCTCTGCCAGAACACTCCACTCAACGTCACCTCCACGCTCCAACTAGCACCTCAGCTTCAGGTCTGCAACGGCCTCCACAGAACGATATCCTTCCTCCCCTCCTGGTTGGCACTGACACCGAACGTAGTTGAACGAGAACACAAGTATGGACAATCGAATATATCTGCACATAAATTTACAGAACATCTTAATAAACTATGAGAACCATAGAGTAAATTCTTCATTTTCAAAATATCAATCAATTGTCTTTATTTATTTATTTTAGCACATAGATATTGATAGAAGGAGGCGCCAAATATATATGCTTCATACAACTCTCATTGGATATGTGTAAGGGCTGTGATACTGCCTGGGTGCCCAAACCGAAGCAGGTGGTTTCCTTAGAGGGGCCACACCCCAAGCCTTCGATCTGAAGATGTGATCCCTAAGGCAGTGAAGCATCGTAAGGAGATGCAGTCCTATAGTAGCCAGTGATCAATAATTGGTTCATACGCTAATTGTTACCTCAGGCAGGATACTTGAGCCAGCCATGTGCACCATTGTTTTTGGGATCCGGTTAAAGCACCGGATATTCGCTTTTCGTACTCTCATTTTTGTAAACAACAACCCCACCACGAGGTAGTGAGTAGGGCTACCCTGGCAAAAGCTATATACGTGTGGCCATGTGAGAGTATTTCGCGAGGGAGTGAGAGGGGACTTTCCCCACTCTCGACCATAACAGGGCATTTAGTGGCAATCAATCGTCTTAGACTTCATTGTTCTTTCGTTTCCACATCAAACATTCTCTGTTCTCTTTCTATTTTTTAATTCATTATATTCTTTTTTTTTAGAATAATGGATCATCTATATATCCAAATAAAACTATGAATTTAATTCTATACTCAACTGAAAAATCACATCGATATCAACCAATTGGTTCAAATCCTAAATTACTCGGTTCACGTATCATTCCAAATGGTCCAAATCCTTTATTTGTTCATGGACCAAATCCATCATTAGTACATGGTTCAATTTATCAATAAGCATACATCGCTTCACTGTCGATTACTATTGTCAAGTCCATATAGATTATATTCTAGCTTATGAACAGGTTAATTTATTCATTCTTCTTGAGTTATATTTTAACCTTTTCAATTATTCGCTTATCAATATTGACTATTTTTATAATGAGCTTGTGTGTGTGTGTGTGTGTGTGTGTGTGTGTGTGTGTGTGCAACTCTTATCCCATACACACCAGATATCTGTAACTTATTTGTATCTGGGGCTAAATAAATATGGAATAACGCTTTGATGAAATAGAAGTTGGTTCATATATCTTCTACCGCCCCCTGTGCATCATTTTAGTTGTACTTCATTCACTGTGATACTCTAATTGTTTATTCCAATCAACAAGTGTACAAAATATATACACATTCTGATAAATCTTGTAATTGGAACGCTATACTCGATTCCTAAACTATTCTTGTACCCCCCCCCCAAGCTAGAATTATACAGCGATCTGAACACGAGAGAGAGAACACGCAAAGTACGCGAAAATACTTTACTCCAAGGTTCGTTTTAATACAGAAAGCATAGGATTTTTGTAATATTCTAAATTTCCTTCGGTTGCTCAAAGATTCTGGAATGCTACTAAATATAGTAGCGGTATAACAATCAGCCAATCAAAACTACTACATGTGATGTTTCATATCTTTGATGTTTTCTGGCTCAACTCCAAATGAACGCTGATTGGATAAAATGCTTCTTAATGTTTTTCTGATCCTTGTGTGGCTTTTGCGAGAATTTTTCTGGATCATCCCAACACATTCAAAAATCCATTCTCATATTTGACTTATTTCATTTCGTTATTTTACTAATGAATGTGGATTATGTCGATAATGATATACGAGAATAACCGATATGTATATCTCAATAATAATTAGGCTATTAAAACAGTACAGATTTTAATCATTGATCATGAAAGCATTTATTGATTACGCAAACATATACATTCAATAATTGCCCCCAAATGCTATGGTACCGCCGAGAGTGGGGGAGAGTCTGCTATCCCCCCTTGAAATGCTCTCACATGGCCACGTGTATATAGCAGACAGATATCTCGCCTTCGCCATAGGTGATGTAAGTTGGCAAATGTCAAACAAGCTTTTCGAATCCATGCTGAGATTTCGTCAGACACTAACCCATTAGGGCTGTTGATAGGGTTTTTAGATGCATACAGATGAGACATAACATATCAGGATGAAAGAGCTATTCATTCCTTTGGTTTGTTTAATACTAGTTCGTGATGTAAATTCAGAATAATTAAACATAACACAAAAATGTGGAATTCATGTCAAAAAGATATGACATTTGTGTAGAATAATTAGAAAAAACCCGAATAAATTATAATGGAATTCATATGACCCCTTTATGAATAAACTAATATTTTCTCTACTTAAGTAGGCAACAACATATGATAACCAAAACGTTCCAAAATTAGTGTTTCGAATCCATAATATATACAATCGAATTTCTTTTATCATATGAGTACTAATCAATCAGTTCATCACTCGTCATTAAGACGCGTATATAGCCTCTGCCAGGGAAGTCCTACTCACTGCCTTCCCACCAACGGGGTGTTGACTACGAAATTGAGAGGACGAAAAGCGAATGTCCACAGCTTTAACCGGATCCCAAATCAATGGTGCACATGGACTGGTTCTAGTATCCTGCCTGAGTGAACAAATGGCGTATGAACCAATCGTTAGTCACCGGCTACCATGGGATTGCATCTCCTTACAATGCCCCACTGCCTTGTGGATCATACCTTCAGGTCGAAGGCTCGGGGTGTGGCCTCCTAAGAAAATCATCTGCTTCGGTTTGAGCATCCGGGCAGTATCATAGCCCTCACATATATCAAATGAAATCTGTGTCGCATATGTATTTGGTGCCTCCTTGTACCAATATCTATGTGTTAAAATAAATAATAATCATCACTCGTACGACTTTACTTGTATCTTCCCATTGTTATTTAAGACTACAATTGATCAGTCACTTGTTTGTATATGTGCATCCTGCATAAATATTACTTGAAGTCCCAAGCTTTATGAGAAAAAATGGATAGTGACTAACAGTAGAAGCTAGTTTCGTCTAATTTGGGACTCATCAGCTAGATGTACTTGCATTTTAGGACTCGAACCCAGTATCGTTTGCTTCAAATGCTATCGCGTTATCCACTTAACTATTGAATCGTGATAGCCATATAATTAAATGATAAAGATTAAAATACCTTTTTCCAAGTTGACCAAATATTTAGGGATGAAGTTAGGTTCAAGAAAGAGGATCATATTCACTAATTGAAAGATTGCTGATAAAGTGACTTGAGAAAATTCGAACCTGATAACGCATATGCGATTGGAGAGTAAATCTAAGAATCACACATCTACAACGTAGTACCAGGCGCATAGATCCATTCAACTTGATACACCTCATTAGCACAATAAGATGACAAAAATCATTGAAGTCGTTACTTCGATGGTGGTAATATATAAAAGAAAGATTGCATATAAGGATATAGTACAGGAAGAAATAATTGTGGTCGATTCTGAGCCATGTCACGCAGTCTCAAACCAAGGGAACACTAACCAAGTAGTCTGCATCTACCAACATGGATCAGACTATAGGTTAGTGACTTCAAGCACTGATGCCACGTTTTGGTTTGACCGCCCCTAACTTTCTTCCAACCATTCCCAACACTAGTCAGCATTGCGCATTGTGGTAGTGGGTGTTTAGGTATGGGTAACACGTGATCACAATTGGTTGATCACTGGGTGGTGATCAATTTCATGCGTGTCTAGTCTTTACTAGTGCAGATCGAATGCTATCGACCCTGCTGCAATGTGGCCACCACACTGTGGGCACTATTGTGAGATTAAATGGTGGTTGGAAATAGTCGACAGTGGTAACGTCTCTGATTGTGAAGCAGGGTAACACGGGAACGAACCCGTCAGGGAGCACCAGTTCCCTTAAGATTAAAGGTACACCTTGCTGAAGAGTGCCAAGTAGCACGAAACCCGGGTCCAGGGTTTCCTGTCGACTACCTCCAATCATCATCATTGCCCCCAAATGCCCTGGTATGGCCGAGAGTGGGGGGAGTCCGCTCCCCCTCTCGAAATGCTCTCATATGGCCACGCGTATACAGCCCCTACCAGGGAAGTCCTACTCACTGCCTTCTCTTGGCGGGGGTGTTGTTTACGAAAATGAGAGGACGAAAAGCGAATGTCCGGCGCTATAACCGGATCCCAAATCAATGGTGCACATGGGCTGGCTCCAGTATCCTGCCTGAGAGAACAAATGGCGTATGAACCAATCGTTGGTCACCGGCTACCATGGGATTGCATCTCCTCACGATGCTCCACTGCCTTGTGGATCAGATCTTCAGATCAAAGGCTCGGGGTGTGGCCCCCTAAGAAAACCACCTGTTTCGGTTTGGGCACCCGGGTAGTATCACAGCCCTCACACATATCAAATGAGATATGTGTGGCGCATATGTATTTGGTGCCTTCTTGTACCGATATCTATGTGTTAAAATAAAATAATAAAAACCTCCAATCATCATCTAATGGGTAACACATACCCCGACCATCTCAGTCGATGAACATTCATAACCCCATCAACTGATTTGCCATTATTCCCTAATACCCTGCGCGTCTAACCTCACTATTAATTACCCAGTGATCCCAGCAGATGTGAATAGTATTTCTAAGATATCTGTGGTCAGAATCTGAGAATATTCATAAACATTTTGTGTAATAGAAACTAAGATAAGACAAGTGGACTAACTCATGTAGGTATGATACGACTAATGTATACTGTATATTTCATAGCTTGTATGATTACAGTATATCTATTGTACAGGTCAGCATTTAAATATGTACGTTATAACAGCGGCATACAGTACTTATAACAATCAACCTCTAATTCTTTTGTTATATATCTGAATCCTAATTGATTTTCTTTAACTTGAGCAATCACGTATTATACTGATAGTCATCATAATTAAAAGCAATGAAAGCCTAACAAGCAAATTACTGACTAGTTACTTAGTCACAGTTGAAGTTGTTGAAGTTTAGATTTGTCAAGTATGAAATAGTTGTCACTAATAACTTTAGATGATAATCACGTCACATAGCAATTTGATTAAAGTTGTAATTATACCACTGGATACCAACCCATTGGTTAGGCACATTCACCGTGTGAAATTAAAGCCGTGATATAGTTAAAAGATGGAAAGAATCAATTTAGTAATCCTCTCACATGGAAACGTGCATACAACCAATATCAGGATAGTCCTAATCATCACCTCGTAGTATTATTGTTGTTTACGAAATTGAAAGGATGAAAAGAGAATGTCCGAGGATTTAACCGGGTTAGTAGACACGGAGGATTCACCTAAGGGAGTATGAATCACAATAAGAAAAATTTTAGTATTTTGATAATTTTTACATAAGAAGATTCGAAAGTCTTCTCCAAGTATCTGGTATCACTGATTGTTTAAGAATCAGTCAGTCAGCATGCCTCAATACATCTTTCTAAAGTATCGCCTTAACATTAAGAAGAAGAATGCTTAGACTATTATCAACTTCAATAATAGATCATTAACAGATAGCCCACCAAAACCCTGATATGGAAGAGGGTCGAGAGAGCCAGTTCTTCCTGTCAGAATGCTCTCACATGGCCACTACCAGGGAAGTCCTACTCATTGCCTTCTCGTGGTGAGGGTGTTGATTGCGAAATTGAGAGGATCAGAATCGAATGTCCGGTGCCATAACCGGATTGGTGGACACGGAGAGTCCACCTAGGGGAGTTAGAAAACCCTGATTCCAAACCAATTATGTACATGAGCTCTAGGATCATGAGGGAAAAAGGCCTATGAACCTATTCTTGGCCACCGGCTACCTTGAAATTGCATCTCCTCACGTTGCTCTACTGTCTTGTGGATTAGACCTCTAGGTCATAGGTTTAGGGTGTGATGTATTAAGGAAATCACCTGGGCAGTATTCCAGTCCCCATACAAATCGGGTAATGAAGTGTGGTGCACACACATTTAGTGCTTCCTTGTACCAATGTTTCTGTGTTGAAATAATAATGATCCATGGTGGTACTAAAGATGGGTATTGTTGAATACCATATTAGAGAAAAACAGCTCTCCACCGCTCCTATTGTAGTGAAGCAGAACACTGGTGAGGACAACCGAATTGTATTTAACTCAAATTACAGAGTTAATTGGTAAAATAGAAAAACCATATATTAAATCGTTAATTTGCAAAATATCAACCCTTCATATTAAATTGAGCTGTTCCTGTTGCAAATATCAATCCATTGACTGACATTTCATTGTTCATGATTTTCCATACAAATTCCATTGTGTTGCCGCTCTTCCTTTCTTGATTTTCCCCCATCTTCTGCTGCCCGACATTACGTTTAAAACTCGCGTTATATACTACTTATTATATCAATATAAGTAGCGCGCACCACAATATGACCAATACCACCTACGAATATGCAATTACTTAACGACTCAATTCAAATCCAATACTAAAATAGTGCATACATACAATGACTACCTTTCCATATTCGCCTCAAAAAGCCCTGGTACGGTCGAGAGTGGCGAGGGTCCGCTCTCCCTATCGAAATCCTCTCACATGGCCACGCGTATATAACCTCTGTCAGGGAAGTCCTACTCATTGATTTCTCGTGGCTTTACTGTTCTTTACGAAAATGAGAGGACGAATACCGAATGTCCACAGCTTTAACCGGATCCCAAATCAATGGTACACATGGGCTGGGTCCAGTATCCTGTCTGAAGGAACAAATGGCGTATGAACTGATCGTTCGTCACCTGCTACCATGGGATTGCATCTCCTCATGATGCTCCACTGTATGTGGATTATACCTTCATGTCGAAGGCTCCGTGTGTGGTCCCCTAAGAAAACCACCTACTTCGGTTTGGGCACTCGGGCAGTATCACAGACCTCACACATATCCAATGAGATCTGTGTGGCGCATATGTATTTGGTGCCTCCTTGTACCAATATCTATGTGTTGAAATAATAAAAATTTCCATATTTATATTCGAAGACTACTGACCATGAATTGTTTTAATAATTTTTTTTGATTAGCGTTTCTTAGCAATTTCGTTTTCTACAGGATGGAGTACCTACTAACCGTATACCAAACCCTCCTCTTTTATCCGTGCTTGGGACCAACAGTAGCCCCAGAGGTGTTCCAGGCAGAGTGATCGGAGGTCTATGCTCCATTGGGAGTAACAGGCTTAAGCAAGTAAATAAGTGAGTAACTGACCATGAGTTAATTACTGCAATTAAAACAGAGTAATAATAATAATAACAATAATATTATCAGTAATAATGATGATACAGGCTTAAGATGACAAACAACATAAAAGAAAAAAAAAGAAGAGGAGGAGTGAGATCCGAATAACCAACCATAAAGAATTAGAACAGAAAGGTGTATAGAATGATGAATAATCACATTTACAAAAAAAAGTTCTATTTTTTTCTAGATTTCAATGATATTCCCTCTTGACAGAAACAATTGACAAGTAGACAGCTGAAAGACCACATACACACACACACACAGAAACATACATACACATTCTCTTCGAAGAACTACACGTAACAATGAATTATTCATTCAACCTACAGCAGCAGAATATATAGTTAGATGATAGATACCCATTATAATATTATACTATTAAGATAAGAAAAAGGAGGGGGGATAGATAGAGAGTAATGATGCACTTAGCAACAAGTGGGTAAAAAAAAAGAAAGGATAGCAACAAAAGTGGATAGTAAACATAGTAATTATATTGATTGATTGATTAATCATTAATATTATATTGTTTACAGCAGTTAAACCATCACAACCAATGTTGTTGATTACTAGTTTAGATAGTTGAAAATTTCTGATTTACTTAAACAAAGAATAGAAATCTAGAAAGAAATGAAATATTTCTATACAGAACTAATTGAGCGGAGAAAAAGAAAGAAAGAAGAAGAAGACAATTCAACCCATACAAGATCATAAAGAAAGAAAAAGAAGATAACTAATCAGAAGCCAAGGAATAAATGAACATTGTTTAACATTAATCTAATCCAATAGAATGAAACGAATTCAATGGGAACATACATTAAACATACTACTAATTAAAAGTAACCATGAACAAGATTCATTGACATTCTGTTAAAGAGAAGAAATGGTGAATTATCAACAACAACAACAACCAACGACAGTAACAAGAAACTTACTTAGTTACTCCTGTGACTCCTTATAGAGGAGTGCATAAATCATCCATCAATACTCTCCTCCATCCAACAACAACCACAACAATAAAGAACATTAATATATATTCAAAGAACTATACCAATGAACAAAAAGAGAATAAAGATTATAAATTACATAACAAATATGATTTCATATCGATTCATCAACTAATTAATTGGTAGATAAAACTGAACTAAAGAAGAAGAAGAAAAGAAAAAAGGCAAAAAGAAAGGAAGAGAAAAACAGGTTGGAGAACTACTTATTGAATATACTGTTCCTTCATAAAAATGACATAGATATGTTGTTTATGATAAAGAAAAGAAAGTATTTTTCCGAATGGATGAATGAATGAATGTTGTCAACCATATATCCATGCACGCGCGTTTGTGTGTGTGTATGTGTCTGTTTGTGTGTGTGTGTATGTAATGTATGTATGTATGTATGTATGTATATATCAAATTAATTCTAAAATAAATTAGCTACATCCATAGGAAGTTCAATAATTTTTGTACTATAGAAATTTTCTAAATCTGTTAATAAACGTTGATCAGCTAATGTAACAAAATTGATAGCAACACCTTTACGACCAAAACGACCCCCACGACCAATACTGAAAAAAAAACAAAAAAATAATTTAAAAAAAGAGTGAGAGAGAGACAAAGTGAAGGGGGAGGGATTTTCAATAATGATCTAACATCAATTGTTGTTGTTTTAATGTTACTCTTATTACTTCTAATGGAGCATAGGCCGTCGACCAGCATTCTCCAACTCATTCAAACCTGAGACTTTTTTTCTAGTTCCATTCCATTCTTGTTCATTTTTTTTATGTCTATCTCTATTTCTCGGCGTAATGTATTCTTTGGTCTTCTTCTCCTTCTCCGCCATTGACCTTGAGGATTCCATATGAGGGCTTGTCTTGCGATCTTAATCTCTTAATTTAAAGGAAGACAGAGAGTATATACACCTACGCCATTGTGATCGATTCTGAGCCATGTCACCAACAGTCTACAACCATTGGTTACGATAGTCACGCCAACCGCAACCAGGTAGTCTGCGTCTACCAACATGGCTCAGACTAGAAGTTATTTAGTGACTTCAAGCACTGATATCATGTTTTGATTTGGCCGCCCCTAACTTTCTTCCAATTATCCCTAACACTGGTGAGCATTGCGCGTCGTGGTAATCGGTGTTCATGCATACGCAACACGTGGCCAAACCATCTCAGTCGATGAACATTCATAACCTCATCAACTGATTTACCATCATTCCCTAATACCCTGCGCGTCTAACCTCACTATTACTTACCCGGTGTTCCCAGCTCCACCGGCCTGCTGAGCCATCCACATTCAATGTCCGCCCAGAAGCCGCCCGACCCACCGCTCCTCTACATCGACAGCGCCCACTACAGAAAACGACGCACCGCCAGAACACTCCACCAGACGCCACCTCTCCGTACCAGACTACCTTAACTAGCACCTCAGCCCCAGGGCCGCAACGGCGTCCACAGAACAGTACCCTTTCCCTCTTTTAGTTGGCAGTGACACCAAATGTATTGAACAACACCAATGGGGGTCAACCGAATGTATTTGACAACAAATTACAGAACTAGTAATAATAATAATCGTATAATATTAACTTACCGATGTATATAACTTTCTAAATTTGTTGGTAAATCAAAATTAATCACTAATGAAATTTGTTGTACATCAATACCACGTGATAATAGATCAGTTGATATTAAAATACGACTTGAACCACTACGAAATGCTGTCATAATATTATCACGTTCTATTTGTTCCATTTCACCATGCTAAATATGAATGATTCAATATAAAAAAGTGAAAGATGAGTAGGATAATAAAGAAATCATATACATATATATAAGATAAATGAAACATAAAGATTTCTATTAAATAAACTGTAATATTTTGTCAGTCAGTCAGATACAACGTAGGATCAGGCACATATATGCATCGGTTCAAGTTGCCATACCACATTAGCACAACATGATGAACAACATCGGATTCATAGAAGTAGTTCATTCAGTGGTGGTAATATATATAGAAGAAAGATTGCATATAAGGAGATAGTACAGGAAGAAAGAATTAGCTCGTAGAAAGAAAGATATGAAGCGATTTTAATCTCTTAGTTTAAAGGAAGACAAAGAGTGTATACACCTATGCCATTGTGATCGATTCTCAGCCATGTCACCAACAATCTACAACCATTGGTTACGATAGTCACGCCAACCCTAACCAGGTAGTCTGCATCTACCAACATGGTTCAGACTAGAATTTGGTTAGTGACTTCAAGCACTGATGCAACGTTTTGGAAACTGTAATATTGATTTAAGTTGATGATATATTATTCTAGATCTGTTTGTAGCTCTTCTAGAATTACTGTCAATCCCAATCCCATACAAAGGAGGAGAGAGTTAGTTGTGACGTCGGTAACCTCATTCTGTAGAATACAACCATGATAAAAAGAAAACGCTAACCAGAATAAAAAAATATTCTATTCTAGTATTGACTGTGATACTGTCAAGTTTAACTTTCTATAAAGCTATAATATATTATTATTATTATTAGAAAGCCCCTAAATGCCTTGATACGACCGAGGGTGGGGAGAGACCACTCTCCCTCTCGAAATGTTTGCACATGGCTATGCGTATACAGCTACTGATAGGAAAGTTTTACACACTGCCTTCTCGCCAACGGGGTGTTGTTTACGAAACTGAGAGCCCCCAAAAGCCCTGGTACGGCCGAGAGTGAGGAGAGTCAGCCCTCCCTCTTGAAATGCTCTCACACGGCCACGCGTATACAGCCTCTACCAGGGAAGTCCTACTAACCACATTCTCACCAACGGTGTGCTGTTTACAAAAATAAGAGGACGAAAAGCGAATGTCCACAGCTCTAACCGGATCCCAAACCTATGGTGTACATGGGCTGGCTCCAGTATCCTGAGAGAACAAATGGCAGTATTCCATCACCCAAACAAATCGAATGATTTATGTGGTGCGTATATATTCTGTGCATTCTTGCATCAATTTTAGTGTTTAAATAAACGAATAAATAAACTAATAATCAACTGGGGTTTTCAGGATCTACATAATTAAGCTTCAGGATTTAGCTATGTTGTTTGCGTTACAGAGAGCCGGGATAATGTTTAATTCTCTTGAGTGATAAGTCTTCTAATTGAATGCTGATTTCGATTCATAAGCTCTTCTAGCAACTCTCAGACTAAATCTACACAGCGACTTGAACACGAAAGAAGGAGCGCGAAATATGGAAGAAACGCTTTACTCCAAAGGTTCGTTTATGTACAGGAAATCTACGGTTTTTAGAGTATTTTTAGATGGTTTTGGGTTTCCGGGAAATTCTGGAACGCTACTACTAAACACAGTAGCAGTATAGATAATCATCCAATCAGAAACTCGACATGTAACTTTTCAATTTCTAGATGTTTCTAACAAAACTTATATTGAATACTGATTCGATAAGATGTTTTTTAGCGTTTTCAGCGCCTTTTTTTGCCTTTCTTCAAGGAGTTTTCTGAACTAATGTAAAACTACCATTTTACAAGGTATATTTCTAATTGCAAATCAGATGGCTTGATGTTTAAATCACAAGTAAGTCTCAGTTTCTAAATAGATAGTATTTACAATCCTGAAGGGAAGCGGAAAAGAGGAAGGCCAAAGAACACATTACATCGGGAAATAGAAGCAGATATGAAAAAGATGAATAAGAACTGGAAAGAGCTTGAAAGCATTGCCCAGGACAGGGTTGGATGGAGAATGCTGGTGAGCGGCCTATGCTCCTTCACGAGGAGTAACAGGCGTAAGTAAGTAAGTAGCATATAACGGGAGTTACGCATAGAATGTATTTCAGTAGAACGTCGATGAGGAAAGAATGGGAACGGGAACGAAAACGGGACGCAATTCGTATAAAAATAAATGAATAATAAAATCTGAGACAATGGTTTGATATTTTGCAAATTAAAGATTTACTATATTGGTTCTTAGATTTTAGTGACATACTCTATAATTTCGTGTTCCAGATACATTCAATTATCTCCACTCATCTTCTTGTTCACTACAGTAGTATATATTATAATCAGTCAGTTAGTCAGCTACAAAATAGGACCAGGCATATATATGCATCGGTCTAAGTTGCAGTTATCACTTCCCGGTTGCCCACACTGTTGAAAGGTTCTTCTGGAGGTACCTGAAAAAAAATTATTTAAGAGGTGGTCTTAGTGACCTGAGAGCGTGACTCCAGTGCCCAAGGGACAACTACTTGAGGTTGTTTATACATAACCTTTTTATGAGTAATACCGGCGACCTATGACGAAGGCGAGATATCCGTCTATCAATTAATAGACGAGTATACTGCGCGGCAGTTCGTTCTGTTCCACTATACGGCTGTGAAAAATGGCCTTTAAGAGTAGAAGATACTCGTAAGTTACTAGTATTTGACCACAGGTGCCTTAGAAATATTGCTGGTATTTGCTTGGATCACCGAGTAAGTAATAGTGAGGAAAACGCACAGGGCATTAGGGAATGATGGTAAATCAGTTGATGAGGTTATGAATGTTCATCGACTGAGATGGTTGGGCCACGTGTTGCGTATGCATGAACACCGATTACCACGACGCGCAATGCTCACCAGTGTTAGGGATAATTGGAAGAAAGTTAGGGGCGGCCAAACCAAAACGTGGCATCAGTGCTTGAAGTCACTAACTAACGTTTAGTCTGAGTCATGTTGGTAGATGCAGACTACCTGGTTGGGGTTGGCGTGACTATCGTAACCAATGGTTGTAGATTGTTGGTGACATGGCTCAGAATCGATCACAATGGCGTCGGTGTAATACACTCCCTGTCTTTCTTTCTACGAACTAATTCTTTCTTCCTGTACTATCTCGTTATATGCAATCTTTCTTCTATATATATTGCCGTCACTGAATGAACTACTTCTATGAATCCGATGTTGTTCATCATGTTGTGCTAATGCGGTATGGCAACTTGTACCGATACATATATGTGCCTAATCCTACGTCGCAGCTGACTGACTGACTGAATGCTGATGACCATACCACATTGAAAGTACCGATTCTCATTCGATCACCTGATATATTATATTATAATTAATTAATTATTAATTTTACTTACCATTGCTGATACAATAAAATCACGTTCAATTAATTCATTTGTTAACCATTCAACTTTTCTACGTGAATTACAAAATATTACTGCTTGTGTTATTGTTATTGTTTGATATAAATCACATAATGTTTCTAATTTCCATTCTTCTTGTTCAACATTTACATAAAATTGACGTATACCATCTAAGGTTAATTCTTCTTGTTTTAATAATATACGTACTGGATTACGCATAAAATGTTTTGATATTTCTAATACTTCATTAGGTATTGTTGCAGATAATAAAATAATCTGTGAAAACAACAATAAGAAAAACAAAATATTAATAGGCGTTTTGTAAGAATTAGCACACAGATACAATTGCCGATTCAAATCTCCTAATGATACATGTAGTAAAAGTATAAGAATTATTTGGAAAGATTAGGATTTGAAGATGTTATTCAAAGAGTATAATACAGCGAAATAAATTTGAAAAGAGAAAAAAAAAATAAGGAACATGAAAAATTCAGAAGATTAGATTTTGGGGAAACACAAAAAGTGGATGCACTTGCACCATTGCAAACGATTTTGAACCATGTCATTCAAGGTCTCTAACGATCGGTTGCTATCGTCTCGCGGATCGCAACGAGTTAGTCTACACCTACCAACATGATTCAGTCTACTTGTCAGTGACTTCATGGATTTGTCCCATGTTTTAGTCTGATCACCCCTAGATTACTTCCAACCTACTCCTATACCATTGAACATCGCACGTCGCGGCAGTCGGTGTTTGGGTATACGTAACACATGTCCCAGACATCTCAACTGATGAAGTTTCACTACTTCATCAATTGATTTGCCATCCTTGCATAGTAATCGTTTTCTAACAAGTGCATTGCTTACTCGATGGTCCCAGGATATACAAGCAATGTTTCAAAGACACCTATGGTCGAATACTAGTAATCTATGAATATCTTCTACTCTTATAGGTCATGTTTTACTGCTATAAAATAGGACGGAACGAACTGCTGTGCAATACAGACGTCCTTTGCTTGATAGACGGATATCTCGCCTACGCCACAAATGACGCAAGGTGGCAAAAGCTAGTCGAGCCTTTTGTATCCGTACTGAGATTTCGTCACACACCAGACCACAAGGGCTGATGAGACTTCCAAGATAAGTGAAGCGGTCGACACGCTCAACTACTTCACTCCCTATCATTAGTTCGGGTGTTGATGCAACCCAATCCTGAAGCAACATTTTGCATTTCGAGGGAGAAAATCACACATGTTTGTGTAATGATTTTGTACTAAATCTAAACGCTAGAATATAGTTAAAGACAGGTTTTATAGTTATACACAATAACCTATACATATACTTGACATTTATGCATTCACACTAGTCATTTGTGCTTGACGACAAGCTTGTTTGAAACATACCCCTATCTAATACTTGTTTATTATTACACGGGAGATAAGCTTAATAGCCAAGGTATTGAAGTCGATTCATTGTTAAAAAAGAAGAATCTAGATAAGTGTTCGTAATAAGGATAAGGAGAAACCAATAACAAACAAGCTACCAACACTTGTAATCTGTATACAATGGCCACGCGTATACAGCCTCTACCAGGGAAGTCCTACTCACTGCATTCTCGTGGCTTTACTGTTCTTTATGAAAGTGAGAGGACGAATACCGAATGTCCAGCGCTTTCACTGGATCTCAAATCAATGGTGCACATGGGCTATATACAGTATCCTGAAGGAATAAATGGCGTATGAACCAATCGTTGATCACCGGCTATCATAGGACTGCATCTCCTTACGATGCTCCACTGCCTTGTGGATCAGATCTTCAGGTCGAAGGCTCGGGGTGTGGCTCCCTAAGAAAACCACCTACTTCGGTTTGGGCACTCAGGCAGTATCACAGACCTCACACATATCAAATGAGATTTGTGTGGCGCATATGTATTTGGTGCCTCCTATGCGTTAAAGTAAATAATAATAAATAACAGGAATTTAATAACATAATTTCAAACTACTTGTGCATTATTCAGTAGCATGAAAATATGTTTATAAAGTAGCGCGTAAAAATCGGTACAATGAGTCAACAAGTGGGCGTAAATTTTCCACGCAAATAGTAACCATGACAGTCTAGAAAAAAAATGGTCGCCATGATATACAGAAAGGAATAGTTATATAAAACTGGTTTCCGTTTGGTTGATTGAAACAGTATAAAAAACTATTACAAAAGTTCATTTTATCGATGAACTCATATATAAATCATATTGAAAGGGAAAGATTGAAATTTGATCTAGAAAGTTTTATTCAATATCAGATTTAAACTATAAAACTTATGAACTGCCTGGTATATAATAACGGGTTGGAAACTAGACTATAATTTATTTATTATTATGTTAATAATAGAATCTGCTAATCATAAGAGAATCGCTTAAAGAACTTAAGGTGGCATGATCGCCAGTGACAAACGGTATTCCCAGCCGGTCACACATAAAAGTGCTGATCATGCCCAACGTTCCTTAACTGAGATAATCGGGCGAGAACCGGTGCACTATCACAATGGCATCGATGTATATACTCTCTATCTTATTTTATACGTTTATTTCTAATTCTTCTTCCTGTATTATATCCTTATACACAATCTTTCTTTTATATACTACCATTGAAGTATCTAGTTCTATGAATTCGGTGTTTATCTTGCTGTGCTAATGAAGTGTGGCAACTTGGACCGATGCATATATATATGCCTAGTCCTATGTTGTAACTAACTGACTAAAGAACTTAACATCCAGTTGTCGGATGGTAGGTTCAACACCTTCCTCCAATTATTTAAGCTGACAAATAATGAAGTTATCAAAAATAGTTAGACATTTAACTTAAACCATTAATTATATTCTGATAAAGCGTAATTAGATGTAAGATTTTACTCTGTAAACTCATCAAATCGGTTTGATTTACACCAAACAGTCAGTCAGTTACAACTTAGGACCAGGCACATATTTACATCGGTCCAAGTTGCCGCGCCTCATTAACACAGCAAGATAAACACCAAATTAATAAAAGCAATCAACTCGTAGAAAGAAAGATATGAAATAATTTTACTCTCATAGTTTAAGGGAAGACAGAGAGTGTATACACCTACACCATTGTGATCGATTCTGAGCCATGTCACCAACAGTCTACAACCATTGGTTACGAAAGTCATGCCAACACCAACCAGGTAGTCTGTATCTACCAACATGACTCAGACTAGAAGTTAGTTAGTGACTTCAAGCACTGATGCCACGTTTTGGTTTGGCCGCCCCTAACTTTCTTCCAACCATCACCAACACCAGTTAGCATTGCACTGTTGGACAGTAATAAAATTGCTAATACACGAATACTGAACTGGTGTTAGTTATGACAACAAGTAAATGAGGATACCAATCAAACTTTACGTACAAAGATTATAACAATCTGTTATTTCACCGCCAGATACAATTAAGATGCAACAATTGAAAAAAGTAAGTTCCTAGCTTTTGTTAGATGACAATGCCCCCAAATGCCCTGGTATGGCCGAGAGTGGGGAGAGTCCGCTAGTCCTCTCGAAATATTCTCACATGACCACGCGTATATAGCCTCTGTCAGGAAAGTCATACTCACTGCCTTCTCGTGGCTTTACTGTTCTTTACGAAAATGATAAGACGAAAAGCGAATTTCCGGTGCTTTAACTGGATCCCAAACCATTGGTGCACATGGGCTGGCTCCAGTATCCTGTCTGAGGGAACAAATGGCGTATGAACTGATCGTTCGTCACCTGCTACCATGGGATCGCATCTGCTCACGATGCTCCACTGCCTTGTGGATCAGATCTTCAGGTCGAAGGCTCTGGGTGCGGTCCCCTAAGAAAACCACCTGCTTTGGTTTGGGCACTCGGGCAGTATCACAGACCTCACACATATCAAATGAGATCTGTGTGGTGCATATGTATTTGGTGCCTTCTTGTACCAATACCTATGTGTTAAAATAAATAAATAGATGAAAATCCAATATGTAGTGTCATATTTATCGTTCTATATGCTTCACTATCATTCCTACTTAATACATCACATTTTATATAATAAGTCTTACTATATGGGCTAAATATGAATTACGATAGCAATTCATGCTACTTCGAATCTTCATGGTTGAAATATTCACATTATATTTTATTTTGTTTATTTTTTTCAGTACCCAATATACTACTAAACAACTGAAGTTGACAGTGTCAACCAATAGGTTCCAACTTAGCAGTTTAACGTTATTAATAATCGCTACGTGACAAAAATTTCCTACGGTAAACTAATTAACGAATACAGAATGATATAACCTGTTTTGAACCACTATATCTTTAAGGTTTAATGATACTATCTAGTCAACTAAACTGACATGTATAGAGAGGGATTCGAACTTATAACTTAATGGTTAAAAGTCAAGGATATCACATTGTTAAGGATTCTAAACCTAGAGTGAAACAATTATTTGATGTAATCGATCATTGTCAAGTTGGTTTTCCAATGGATTATTTCTTTATTATTTATTTATTTTAACACATAAGTATTGGTACAAAGAGGGACCAAACACCTATGCGCCACACAAATCTCAATTGATTTGTGTGAGGGCTGTGATACTGCCCGAATGCCCAAACTGAAGCAGGTGGTTTTCTTAGGGGACCACACCCAGAGCCTTCGACCTGAACGTCTGACACACAAGGCAATGGAGCATCGTAAGCAGATGCAGTCCCTTGGTAACAGGTGACGAACGATTGGTTCATACGCCATTTGTTCACTCAGGCAGGATACTGGAGCCAGCCCATGTGCACCAATGGTTTGGGATCCAGTTAAAGCACTGGAAATTCGCTTTTCGTCTTATCATTTTCGTAAAGAACAGTAAAGCCACGAAAAGGCAGTGAGTATGACTTTCCTGACAGAAGCTATATACGCGTGGTCATGTGAGAATATTTCGAGAGGACTAGCGGACTCTCCCCACTCTCGGCCCCCCTGTACCAATATTTATGTGTTCAAATAAATAAATAATAAACTCTCGGCCGTACTAAGGCATTTGGGGGCTTTCCAATGGATAACATCGTTTCTTTATTAAAACGCATTTTAAACTTGAGAAAAAGTAATAATAATAAACTTACTTGAACAGCTGGATCAAGTGATAGGAATATCTCTTGAATTTGATCTTTAAATCCTAAACTAAGCATTTCATCTGCTTCATCCAATACAAAACATTTAATTGTTTGTGTACGTAAATAACCACGACTAATCATGTCTAAAACACGTCCTGGTGTACCAACTACAATTTGTTGACCTAACTGTAATTGTTCAATATCAGTTGATACTTGTGTACCACCAATACAAACATGACAACTAATATTCATATAATCACCAAGTGCTAGAACAACCTATTTACAATAAAAAGAAACAACAAAGTAATAACTTTCAGTTATGGGAAGTTTTTTGGGGGGGATTTTTGAATATTATTGAGATCATGAATTAACCTTAGTTAAACAAATCGTTGAAAACAAAAAGTAGTGCACAGCTTTTTGTCCTAATGTGGAATACCCCTAGTATTGGTTGCCTAACTCTATAAGATCGATTTGTGATCTCAACGACAATAATTTGCCAAAGGGGAAAATAAGGAACAATTAGAAAATCTATTAATATATAGGTTGAATAATATTGAGATCAATTACATTGTCACCATAAGTAGATGTCAATTGAATGAATGATAAAACTCATGGTTCATTTCATTAACTGGTTTGTAGAAACAATGTAAATACAGTTACTTTTAACGTAAGATACAGATTGAACATCAAATAGATATGAGTTGCAGTTTGATATTTAATTTGTATGAGGGTTGGGGTATTGCCCTAGGTGTCCAAAATGAAATAAGTGGTTTTCTTATGAGGGAAACACATCAGAGCCTTTGAATCAGTGGACAAGGAGAGTTCACCTAGGAAAGATGGGAAACCCTGGTTCCAAACTAATGGTACACATGAGCTCCAGCATCCTGAGGAGACAAAAGGCGTATGAACCAATTGTTGATCACCGGATACCATGAGACTGCATCTCCTGACGTTGCTCCACTGTCATGTTGATTAGACCTTAAGGTCAAAGTCTTTGGGTGTAGCCTCCTGAGAAGGCCACTTGCTTCGGTCTGGGCACCCTGGCAGTATAGCAGTCAACACACAAATCAAAGGACTTGTGTGGCGCATATGCATTCAGTGCCACCTTGTACCAATGTTTATGTGTTAAAATAAATAAATCGCTACGAGGTACGCATCAAACTTTCCAAATCATTATCTAACTCATCATTCAGTGGTAGTTAGCACAAAAATATACGTTAGAGAAAAGCCAGTAGCAGAAAACAAAAGCATAACATCAGTTTATAAACTCATTGACTGGTGAACTGAAATATGTTAGATGTAAACCACCTTGTCAAGGACTCTGATGATTGTAATAAATGGATGGAAATTTTAGATGTCACGGACCACAATCGATTACAATGATGATGTATTCACATTTTAGCTTTTAAATTTTCGAATCCAGGTTGCTACACCACGTTAGTATAGAAAGATCATATTGTTAAGAAAAATGTTGGAGTAGTTGGAAAGATATGATTTGAGGGGAAATAATGAAGTTGCTGCAAAAAGAGGATAATTTTAAGACTCAGGATAAAGGTCAAGTAAAGAGTGAATGCATTCACTCTATTGTGACCGATTTTAAACCACGTCACGAAGAATTAACAGCTATCGGTTACGGAGATCGCCCGGAACTTCAAGCAGGTAGTATGCATTCTATTTACATGGCTCAGTCCAACAGTCAATAACTTAGTAGACTAACGTCAATTTTTGGTTAGCCCACTACTTACTTTCTTCCAACTTATTACTAGCTTAGCCAGCATCGCGAACAGAGATAGGCGGTCGTTTGTTATACGTAATATATCTCATCTACTTTAGTCAACGAAGATCTGCAACTTTTAAATTGACCTTATAACCTTACCTAACACCTTGCGTCTAACCACAGTATTTATTACCCTATGGTTCCATTATTCATGAGCAATGCCTCGAAAGCATCTATGACCAAATACTAGTAGTGCCATGTTGTACAACCGTAAGGCAGAACAGTGTACTGGTGAGCATTAAACTTATCCTTTAATTGGAAGACAGATATAACAGTAATAATAATGAATAATTCACAAATTACCATTTGAATTTGTTTCGCTAATTCCCTAGTTGGAGCCAGTACTAAAGCTTGACAACGTGGATCAGTCGTGCAGATTTGTTGTAAAATGGCAATACTAAATGTGGCTGTTTTCCCAGTGCCCGATTGAGCTTGAGCTATAACATTACGTCCTTCAATTGACGGAATTATGGCTCTTTGTTGTATTGCAGAAGGTTTTTCAAAACCATATGCAAAAATTCCACGTAAAAGATTTTCTTTTAAATTCATACGATCAAATGAATCACATACATTGTTATAGTGGCTGTTTATATCGTTGTCCGACTCCATCTACATATGAACAGTAAAGAGTATGAGTATAAAATGTAGGCAATACAAACAAATAACCGTTTACAACATGACGAAAATAGTATATAAACTAAAGGAATTATATAAAAATGATCACAATATTGATTTAAAAAGGCGTGGGATGAAAAATACACCATATTAAGTGAAAGGTTATTATTAATAAAGACCGTACAAAACAAAAATGGATAGTGTGAATTTTTATTGACCGAAGTCGTTGGGACATGCATTATCTATCGCTAACACCTCTTATCTCCACGCGCGATGATGGCTGGTGTAGGAGTAATTTGGAAGTTAGGAATAGCCAAACCAAAACGTGGCATCAGTCTGTGAAGTTATCAACTATTAGATTGAGCCGTGCAGACTACCCGGTTGTAGTACTCGTAATTTTCGTAATCAATGGTTAGATTTTGGACTAAAATCATTTGAAATGGGGTAGATGTATGCGCCCTGTCTTCTCAGAGATCTTAAGTAACCTAATAACCTTAAATTTTTATTATTCCACGAATGCATATTTTCTTTCTCGAATTATATCTTCCATGCATAATATTTCCTACTATCATTAATACTGTTACTGATTGCACGACTCCAGGATCACGCTGTGTTAATATAATCAAAACTTGAACCAATCAATATGGGTCAGATTCTACATTGTGCATGAGTGATTGAATATAAGTCATATCTTAAGTACGCTGGGACTAGTTGGAAAAAGCGGAGTTGGTCAGTGTATGACATGGTGTCGTGGTATGAAAGAAAGCTGCAAAGGGCTGGCTTCTGTTGGTCCTTCTCGACTCCCTGGCTGGGGTCCGAGAGATGGTGCAACACAGTGGCTAGAGAAGTTATCAGATATGGCTCAGAATAGAAGCTAGTGGCGATCCTGCTGTAACCTTATTTTACTTTCTTCATAAAAAGTGGTTGTAACTTTCTTAACTGAAAGGATCCTTTCTGGTTGTACCTTTCCATTCCCCCCATTATTATTATTATTACACTACCATACACTAATCTGTGGTCGTTGTTGTACTTTTTCCTTTCTTCTCTCTTATACACACCTTCCATTCCTTTTCTCTTCCCATCCTCGTTGTTATTGTGTGGCCCGTATATATTTGGTGCCCCTTTATACCAATATTTGTGTTCAAATAATAATAATAATAATAATAATAATAATAATAATAATAATAATAATAACAATAATAATAATAATAATAATTATAATTATTATTATTATTATTATTATTATTATTATTATAGATTTATGAGGTAGATAATCATGGAAAACAATCGACTAACAGCTTTTTAGTGATGAGCAGAAAAGTTATGAGAGATACAGAAGGCATTTTCAGTCATTGGCTGGTTTGAGAAAGATAGTAAATGGTCAGTTAGAGTACTGTCGAAATAGATCCTGGGTTCGAATCTTGCGGGGTGCGATTGTGGATGCGCACTGCTGAGAAGTCCCATACTAATAAATAACTGTCGAGATAACTGACAATGTGACAAGATTTTGAAGACAGTTGGTCAAACGAAAAACTAGTGGTTTATTTACCTGTCTAGTCAATAATCTAGAACCAGGATGAATTTATTAAAATTTCTACAATGATACACAAACTATCGACTTTATGTTCAGAGAAAATATAAGTCAAACTATTTTATGTATGGCAGCTTGCACAAATCAGTTTTACAACAAAAAAGTATAATATTAATGTAACTCAACAACAACGTATATGTTTGTGAACCAGCGCTTACACGACTACCTTTCTGGCTACTTCCAACTGCTAAATGCTCTCAAATGCCCTGGTACAGCCGAGAGTGAGGAGAGTCTGCTCTCCCTTTCGAAATGCTCTCACATGGTCACGTGTATACAACCACTGCCAGGGAAGTCCTACTCACTGACTTCCCACCAACGGGGTGTTGTTTACGAAGTTGAGAGGACCAAAAGCGAATGTCCGTAGCTTTAACCAGGTTAGTGGATATAGAAGATCCACCTAGAAGAGTTGGAAAACCCTCATTCCAAACCAATGGTGCACATGGGCTGGCTCCAGTATCCTGAGGGAACAAATGGCGTATGAACCAATTGTTGGTCACCGGCTACCATGGGACTGCATCTCCTCACGATGCTCCGTTGCCTTGTGGATCAGACATTTAAGTCGAAGGCTCCGGGTGTGGCCCCCTACGAAAACCACCTGCTTCGGTTTGGGCACCCTGGCAGCATCGCAGCCGTCGTACAAATCAAATGAGGTTTGTAAAGTAGTAGAGGTTGTAACAGTATTGATATTAGCATAAAAAATTAGGCATAGAAGATATGGTACCGAAAGAAAATATGGATCGTGGAATAAAAATAAGTTAATTTAGGAATTCATAATGCAGAATAGATGCATCTGCGACACTGTGGACCATTCTGAGTTCGGTCACCTCAAGTCTCTAACTATTGGTTATGATAACCACGAGGACCACAACCGAGTAGATTGTACCTACTCACATGGCTCAGTCCAAAGACATAAAAACCCATGTTATCCGATTTGCACCAGTGTGCAAACGTTTAATGAGACCACCTTGAATGGCAAAAGTGGCTTCAGAAAGTCTGACTCGGATTCTGTATTTGATGGCACTATTAGGGATTTCGGCCAGTCACGGACTTGAGACAGCACAGAATATCCACCATGAATGACCTGCTGAGTGACTTGGAAAACAGAATTAAAAGAATGTAAACAAAAACTAATCAGGAAGGTGATCTAATGTAAGATAACTTTAAGCACCGGACAGGTTAGTGGTTAAATCACTCAAACTTCAACCATTGGATGTTCCAGAACCCTGTCAATCTTTTTAATTTCAGCAGCCATATGTGAAAATGCGCTTGATTCTTGACTTGTGTTAACCATAGATGAAACGACGCGGAGCTCTGGCAACGTGTCTGCACTAGGTTTATTGGATGTAGGGTGAGACAATAATTTGTGGACGACCTTTGACCGACGCCAGACTGACCTCCATCCTGCTCCTCAAAAACCAACACAAGTTTGGTGACTACTACGCCAATCACGGGTCAAACGAAATAAAATGAGTACGAAAACTGAATACATATAAAACCATGGTTGTATTTTGTCGTTGCCCCCAAATGCCCTGTTACGGCTGAGAGTGAGGAGAGTCCGCTCTCCCTCTCGAAATGCTCTCACATGGCCACGCGTATATAGCCTCTGCCAGGGAAGTCCTACTCACTGCATTCTCGTGGCGGGGGTGTTGTTTACGAAAATGAGAGGACGAAAAGCGAATGTCCGGCAATTTAACCGGATCCCAAGTCAATGGTCACATGGGCTGGCTCCAGTATCCTGCCTGAGGGAACAATTGGCGTATGAACCAATTGTTGGTCACCGGCTACTATGGGACTGCATTTCCTCACGATGCTCCACTGCCTTGTGGGTCAGATCTTCAGGTCGAAGGCTCGGGGTGTGGCCCCCCAGGAAAACCACCTGCTTCGGTTCGGGCACACAAATCAATTGAGATTCGTGTGCCGCATATGTATTTGGTGCCTCCTTGTACCAATACCTATGTGTTAAAATAAATATAGTAAATAATTTTGCCGTTTCTTTAGTTAATAAGCGAGTATTCATAAGATTTCTCTGGTGTAGGCAACACAGAGTATCTCCCTGAGTAATTGCTGGTATTGTATATAAAGAAGCACGTCAACTAGTTTTTGTAACATGACCTACACATACGACGTCGACTATCAGCTAAATGACATACCAAATATGAGCGAGCTTTCAGCTAACATTTTATTGAAGTTAAAAAGTCAAGTATGTGTGAAACGGTGGGCAAAACAATCCAAAATCAGATGTGCGAATGTTTTTTATTGAATGGAAAGGACCTACGTTAACCGTTTGCAAGCATCACTTTAAAAAATTACAAATGTTAAATTCCTGACAAGATATTATAACAAAATCATGTAGCGATAGGACCAAAGGTGTTAGATAATAGGTTTGTCCAAACTCTTTATCTTGTAGAAACCTCTGTTGAAAACTTTGAAAAAATTCGGAGAGATGGCATCAAAACAAAAAAATTTTCCCGGGTCTCGGGATTTTCACAAAGCTTGGGAGAAACTGCGTTTTACCCTGTATTTCCACAGAATCTTCTAACACTGGTTTTTCCCAGAAATTTCCGAAAACTTCGAGGGGGACTACCATATTTCTTATAACTTTGAGGAAAACCCCAAAATTTCCACAAAGTAGTGATATAGGGTAGTATACCATCCATCTACTTAGCATCAATAGTATTAACACCATCTTGGTACAAATAGCACAAACTTGGCAGCAGTAAGTGAAAGCAAAGCTAAGAATACAAACCGCATCAGATACTGACTATGATGGGTGAAAATGAGAACATAAAACTAACCAGAAAATAACATGTAGCAAAATACTTTGAAATAAGCGCTAAGCCGGAAAACGTCCAATGCACAGTTTCGTCAATTAATCTTCAGATAATACTCGTGTTGTATCCTAGTAGAAGGTCTTACCCAAGATATAACTATACGCACAGTCATTAATGGTACACCAGAAGGACATAACACTACAACTTGAAATGTCTGTTTTTCAGTAGGGTAAAACGGCAACAAACATCACTCGCTACAAAATGATATATTAAATGACAAATGATAACAATTGTTACGGAATGCTACTTGTAACCTCTCTCTGATATAGCAACTACAAATGAGTTCACATGATCGACGAAGATTCCTCTGGACGTGATCAGAAAGAATATGTCCGATAGTATTTATCATTTATAATCCGGGCCAAAACTCCAACATATTGCATAATGTCCTGAACGGATGTTATAACACTATTACGATCTTCAAACACAGACCGAAACCAATAAAGTGGAAGAACGAGCTACAGAGATAGCGCTTATTTCATTTTAACAGGTGTAGTGCGTGTGTGTTAGTAAAGACGAAAATTATGTTCATTTTTTACAAGTGATGTAAGGGAAAAACGGATATCAAATATAAAGTTGCTTACGTATAAAGTGTCACAAATTGGGGGAATTATGATCTTTATCTTGTTGTTGCAAAAACCATTGAGTATATACTTCACTGTAGACTATTAACACCAAAATCATCTTTTAACCATTGTTAGATATCCTCCTAAGCCACTGTAAAACAACCGGGATAGACTTACGAATCACAATCTCTGTTTATGAAATAGACCAGATGCGTCCTTTGCCATTTTAAATTCACACAGTTAAACCCTTTAAAATATATGCTTGCCATAGCCGAGTCAATAATACGCTACTTGAAATTCATATTCTAAATGCACACTGACGTGCGTCAGTTTTAGTTTGAGTGATTCCTGATAAAATTACAGAACGTCTCAAAAATAACCCATGATAATTGGATCTCTCATTAAAAGTCACTTGGCAATTATCAGTGGTTCTGAGCTGACTACTAAGTGTGTCTTCAATATCGTTATTATCGATAATCTTATTCCATTTATTGCATAGTCGAGTACATTACTACAATGACCGGTGTGAACTAATGCACTCTTGTTAGATTTCATCCCTGACGACGAATGATTTATTCACTCGACCAGAGCATTTAAATCTTCTCTTATTCGCACCCAATCTCCTTCGTTTTGCGTGGGTCTACAGATAATGATATCATCAGCAAACATTAAGATCGATGATTTTGATATTGCATATAATATCTACACCAAAACGGAAGGCCTGAAAATATCTCCCGAGAAATTTCCTTTTCCATAGATAGAAGAAGTATCCACTCAACCTTATAGAGGTACTAAAGTGTCCTTAAGAAAACGTCAAACACTTTTTAGGGTCAAAATAGGCTTGTTACCTAGTTTAGAGGAATAGGCTTAAGAGTTACAGTTAGAAATTATGGTTAAGAATGGTACAGCCCAATCTGAGAACTTTACGGGTTCAATAACACTCATTTTCTGAATCCGTTCTAATTTCTGTTCAACTAATGGGAGAGCAGTATACGTTACAGGTCTTTTAGTTCAGAAGATGGGAGTAGCTCCAGGTTTGAGGGTTAACAATGCTTTGGTCCTCGTATATTCTCCCAGTCCTTTTTTAAACACGTCGTGATGTCTTTGTAGCAAAGTGTGTTTCTGGCTCCACTTTAATGGGTTATCATTTACGATTCGTCTGCAGATGTTGTTAATTGAATGGTCTGGTATTTTAAATGACTGTATAAGATCTAACCTTAATATGTCGAGTGTTGGATACCTTGTAAGGTATATTGCTGCATTCTTTGTCACGGTACCTTTAGAAACAGTGCGGAGTACTTTTCCAACGTCATTTAGCTTCTCACCAGACGCACTATGTGCTAATGGTGATGATGGATGAACTGTGAGTCTCCCGATACTCTTCTAAGTTTCTGGGCTGAGTAGAGTAATATCAGATGCTATGTCAAGTTGAAGGCAAGGACGCTGTTTATTAATATCCAAAGTTACATACTTTCTTAACGGTAAATTCGCGCTCTGTTATGCGGTACCAATATATCGTTAGTTAATGCACCAGATCTGTATTTGTTGAAATAGGGTTTCGAAGAATGTCGTATATGGGTTATTTTTATGAAGTTGGTTTCTTTATGGCCTTTAGGATGATATTTACTGCAACAATATTCTTTATATGGGCAGAACCTCTTATAATGCCGAACTCCACATGATCAACATGGAGATGGGGGCTGGTTGTATGTGAGCATTATTTTTCTTCGGCAGTAATATTTCTTTTCGCTTGCAACATGAACGTATGGTGACCGGCTATTATTTTCAACCATGGAAGTGCCGTGTTTCAAGTTTAACAATCTTTGGCACACCGTGGTTACTTCTTGTACTGTTACATTCGGGCGCTGTTCAATTTCATTCAAAATTCTGGTTCTAATATCGTCACCCTCGGGAGATTATAAGCTGCACACAAACATGAGTCACTTAAACCGATCTGCTGTCATTGCTGATGGTTTGAACCGCTCACACTCTCGGTTTATTAAACTCTCATGCTTCACCCAGTCATCATCACTTGCTTTTGTTATCTTGAGACACTGATAACGAATGTTAAACAAGGATGGCTGTTCAGCAAAATTTGCGAAAAATATCAATCGTTTCATCAAAAGAAAATCCCTTGGATTCTTTGGAAGGATGAAGTTACTGTAACATTCATGTTCAACCATGTCAAGTTTTCTTAAGAGTATTCTGACCTTGGTGGTGTTACTAAGTTTTCTGAGGTTGGTCTTGAACCAATCTTTGTTTTCTTGAACCAGGTTTCAAAAGTTATGGCAGCCAAACCATTTTAAGTAAATTTATTAATAGAATTGATGATGGAATCGATATGATGATTACATGAATCATCAGTTAGTTCCTTGTGACTAAAATTCATCTGTTGAGCTAGCTTAACACTCAACACTGTTCATACCGTTTATCTTGACGTTCAAGCATGGACCTTATTTGTTCAAGAGTAATCGGTATTGTTAGTGGTGCACCTCCACTGTTAAGTTCGCTACTTGATTAACGCACAATGCGGTTTATGACTACGACACTAGAACGTTGTAACTTCACCGTCGCAAATCAGAAGACAGAAGAAAAGCTGGAGGATTGTTTATTTGGTAAGATTCAAAATGTAAAGAAAATCACGGTTATTTATAGCTATTAGCATTTGTTAAATCAACATTATAATTCGGCCAATCCGCAAAGAGATATATTATGCTCTTGTCCAATGATATTCCTTCATGTTCTGACTGGATGGGGACTCTTTGGCTCCTTAGGTCCTCTAGGGTCTCCGTTATAGTTTTCGGAAGCCGAATCAACATAAACATTCAGAAATGCTAGATCAGAACTGATTCTGTAGACCTCATTCACTCCATTGACGCTCAGAGCATTCACCCCTCACAAAGCAGAGTAACGGCATTTTGAGTTACTCAAAGTCGACCACAGTCAATCACATGCGTACTTTTAGCAACCTGGTAGGTTTTTATCTACGTTTCACACCAAATCGAGCCTCTCATTAGACTCTTAACGGACCAACTTCGTGGAAATGAGCAATTCCTCAATCAGGACAGCAACGCCTTAAAAGCATTTTCTACGGTTGATGAACTTATCTGAAAAGCAACTGAGTTCGCAGTCATTAATATCGCAGTGGACGCGTTGGATTCCATATTCGGAGGAGTCTTACGCCAATTCGCAAGTAGCACGTAACAACCATCAACGTTGAGACAGTTGAAAGACATTAATTCAACGTTTAGCGCTTTTGGTTGGAAACTATCAGCCATATGCTGTGTTGTACATCACTTTCAGCACTTTGTGGAAGACAAAGAATTCACTCTGTTCACCGACCATAAACCTTGTAACAAAGATTGATTAATTAAGAGTTAGCCTTGAACATCTACGTATATGTCAAAACACTAAAGATAAAGTATTCATTCACTTCCTTATTTTGTATATGGATTATATCTCCTATTATCCTATATTGGATTTCGAAAAGCTTTGTGTGTTTAAGCGGGCATTCTGGCACTCCACTGTATCATGCACCACGATCTAAACAAAGACCTATTCACTATTGGTCTATTCTATCAATAGAAAAAAAGAGTACCTACAAGCACGAGAATCACTCACAATTTATCTTAGCTCGTCTTCGAGAGTCACTGCTGATGAACCACATTTTTCATCATTTTACAAGCACACAACATATTTCTGGGGCAAATATTGTAGCTGTGGACTTCTTGAGGCTCTTTCACAACTTCTTACGCCCGTTTCGACTATGTTCAACTTGATTTGGTAGGACCCTTATCAGACTCATATGGATACTCATATCTTTTAACGTTTGTGAGCTGTTTCACACGATGAAATAAATCAATACCCATCAAAGACATTACTGGTGAAATAGTGGATCTGCATCGTCAAACGTTAGGCGGAAAACTTTGGTCGCCCTTCAACTATAACTACGGACCGTGGACCTTATTTCGAATCCGGAAAATTTCGTTATCTTACTGATTTTTCAGGAATCAGATGATCTCGAGCGACCGCTCACCAGTCACAAGCTAATGGGTTGGTAGAACGACTTCACCAATAGTCGAAAGCTTTGCTCTCCGTTACAGACGTAATAAAGTGGACTGACGCCCTCCTATTCACGTTACTCAGTACTCGCAATACTGTGACAGCTGACATTGAATACACTGCAGCACAACGCGTTCACGGAACGACACTTCAGGTGACAGAAGGAGTTTTGAATCCTCTATCCTCTCCACTCAATCAGAATCTAAACTTATACACGAGAAGGCTTACAATCGGGTCGACATTCATTTCCCGGCAAATATAAATCGCTAGCACCCGTTTACAAAAAAGGTAGGGTGTGAATTGAAAATTTAGGTATCTGTGATTGGTGTACTTGTTTTGCAAGTGTGTACTCAAGTAAAAATGAACCGA